GGGGGGGGGGCCCCGCCCCCCCCAGCCCCCCCCCCCCCTCAGCTACGGGCCTGTTCAGTTTCCGAACAGTTCGAAAGATGACGCTTTGTAGTGGCACCAAGGATAGCTGGACTGGGTTTCAGTCCAAACACAAGACGGCAGAAACGATACACTGCGTTCTCTTTTAAACCTTGATCTACACTTTTTAACCAAAGAAAACGTAAGGCATCTCGTTCTTCTTCCTTTATTGAAATCATGTGGAAAGCCTTCTCGATATCGGCAACGAGAGCATAAGAATGAGATCTGAAACGATCTCCGTCGTGTTCGTGTTGTCTTGCGTGTTTGTTTCACTATAAGCCGATTTCTTGTTTCAAATCGGCTTCTACTGGCTCTGATTATTCCACGGTATTTCACTATTTTGAACACTTGATAAAGATTTAGACGTATTTGAACATAGTTAATATAGAAGACCTTCTATATTAACTATGATTTGAACTATCATCATCACATTTCCTAAGTAAATTGACTAAATTGTTAATCTTACGCCTCACCTCGATAATCTTCTCAGCAATCAATGACGACTCTTTTACCTCATATTCGATGTCTTCGATTTTTGCCTTGACAAGCACATTTTCATCCAACGATTCCAGCAACTTCCCTTTCGCTTCGATTAATCCAGTAATTATTTGTAAACATTCATATTCGTGCGATTCATTCGATACAGTTGAACTCTCTAAATGTTCTTTGACCTCTTTTCACAAGTCTTGTTAAAACTCCTCGATGTGCCTGTCGAACAGCAACAGTCCGTTCCAGACTCTGCTCAGCTTCGGTAGACAATAGACATTTCACTCGATTTCACGATAGTAGGACTTCCAAACGATCATGGGTTTCCCACGTTGCATGGGCGCCATGTAATAAAACGTTCGACTTATTCATCAAAATTCACGGCGATTTAAACAAAATATAACTTTAATTCTGTCAACCCTTGAAACCTTTCTCAAAACAACGAATACAAAACGTGACTAAACACACGACTTGCGGCCGCAATTTATTAGAGTTAATGTTTTTGTGGATACTTAGCCTGCGAACAGGCTCTCAAGCTGAATTGAGAGCCTGCATCGATTACTGATGAATTTGAATATCTGCGTCTCAAGTCGTGACGCGAAATTCTCATTGGTCAGATGCTATAATTTATATGTTTCCGCTGAGCTCTATATATGTCAACTGCTGAAGCACTATGCATAAAAAACACATTATCTGATCAAATTGGTCTTGGCCATCTTATCTCAAAGCACGAAATGTTCTGTTTTAAGAAAACAGTATTTAAAACATTTGAACTTTTACTTGAATATCTTATATTTCGTTAAACAGTATAAACTGTACGGTCTAAATTTAGTTTGCACGGTCTAAATTTAGTTTGCACGAAAGTTGTAAACAACACCATATAAGGATAGACATTCCATATTTGGAAAAACGAACGTTACGGGGCAGATATTCAAATTCATTAGTCATCGATGCAGGCTCTCAATTCAGCTTGAGAGCCTGTTCGCAGGCTAAGAAAATATTGATATCGCTGATTTGCAGTTATTTGGCTATTAATATGGCTGCTTTAATTTAATCAAAAATAATAGGGGAAAACGTTTCGAAACTTTGCCGTAAAGCTGGAGAAACTGAAAAAGTTGTGTTGCCGAGAAATGCGGTAAAAAATATTTGCTTCACAAGTACAAGCTTTCACAACATTTTGATCAAGCCACATTTGTTGCAGGTAAAAAACCATTTTTGACACACGCTAAAACACATTGCGCTGGACGAATTCTCCTAAATAAACAATTATAATACTACTGCAATCCATGGAAAATATTTTGAAAATCCATAGAAGGTTATAGAATGGAAATTGTATGGACGGCTTTATTGGAAATAGAATGGATTTTGATTATCCATAATAATTGTATTTCCACACTATGGATATAGTATCGAAATTGTATATGGTATACCATGGCTTTAGTGGTACAATTGCAAATTTCATAGTATGGATTTCACATTTTTTCTGCAGTGAATTACAAATAAATGCCAGCTTCCATAAAACAAATTATTGGGGTTCAGAATGGCTTAATAATTTCGCAAATATCAATCAATTTGACAACACAAAGGATGTAGGGTTTGGAATTTTTCAACTGAATTATTTACCACTTACCCAAACATAGCCAGTTAAGACACGTAAATTATTAAAATCAGTTAGGCTCGTCTTCCACAAAACTCGTGTTCACGCCTTTCAAACTTTGTTTCACTGTTGACAGCCACTAATTCATGAAAATGCTGACTTGTTTAAAATTGAATTAAAATTTAGATTCGCAAAAATATACTGTCGACAGCAAGATACATGTGAAATTAAGGCTTTCAAGCTTTGCAATATGAAAAAACACCCAACTTTTTACCAGAGCTGGTACTCACGCATGAGCATAACGTCGAAAATCGTCCATCACATAATGGAGGATGATTTTGCACTTTGTTATGTTCGAGTGGAATTAGTACCCTCGTCCAGGGCTTACTCCCAGAACGGCGCGAGGATAAGATGCAATCACAGATTCTGGTTATGGCTGGGACAGGAAACATATAGTTACTGTCGTTGATTTGAAGATTTGGCACATTTCATAATCTCTTTGAATAGATCGATTGCACCTACTGACCCGCAGAAAATAAAGGAATACAGTAATAAAGGATTTATCCACTGCATTTCGAGTAACGTTGTAGCTCATTTTACGTTAACTGCAATGGGTCCATTATAATCAATTTGGTTTGAAAAATGGCTCATTAATACAAATTCAAAAGTGGTTTTTCTATTCAAAAGTGCTTTATCTTCGTGATTGCGCTTCGCCCGTGCGCACGCACGCTAAGCGCTTTGGACTGAAACTCTTTGTTTTTCTTTGTCTTTAAGGGAGCGGTCATTATTTTGTTATTATTATTAATTTATTATTTAAAAATATTTAAAACGGGAGTCCTTCAGGGCACATAGGCACCTGCTTTTCAAGGAGCCGTTTGCAAACTACCAAAATTAACAATACAACTATAAATTAATTTGCAACTATTACACTACCTACAGTATATTACTATTTATAGTTTTTCATTTTACCTCAAAAAACCACAACAGTCTGTTTCATCCGTATACGGACCACCTGATGATTCCTATACGGATGAAACAGACTGTTGTGTTTTTTTGAGGTAAAACGAAAAACTATGTTACACTCGATCTATATGGTATTGAGCACTGTTTGTGTTTCGTAAACCAAAAACTTAAACCATTTTACCAATTATATAGATTACTAAGTACTAATTACAAGAATACATCAGCTGCGGTCAAGAATAGATTTAAATTTACTAAGGACAATGAATTAAGCACATGAGAAGCACGGCGTCTAAATCAATTGAGCACTGCACTTAATATTAAGCACGACTAAATTAATAAGTTCGCCTGGTTCAGGCGTGCTAAACAGCCCCTTAGTTAGACAACACACTGCATGCTAATGTACGTATTAGACGTACATATTAACTAAAGTGAATTTGAACAATCAAAAACGCTTAAACTGTATGTATTTGCCGATAGTTTCGCTAGATTCTAGGATCTTCAACTATCAGATTAACTTTAATAAAGGTTTTACAACAAGTTCAAGACCATGCTTTTCCAATGCAATGAATGCATGCAATGGACCATTCCCCAATTAACCAAAATTTTGATCTCAACAAGTTTAGACAAAATTCCATCATAGCATGAAAGAGCATCACAAAATTAGTAATATTCCAAAGTTTCGTTGTGAAATGTTGTAAAATGCGGATAATATAGCCTTGCGAAATTTGCAATTTTCAGTCATTTTAGATTACAAACGGGAAATGGTTACCACTTTTCCAAAATTTTGATCTTAACAAGCCTAAACAAAAATTTCATCATAGCTTGAAAGAGCGTCATAACGTTAGTAATATTCCAAAGTTTCGTTGCAAAATGTTGTAAAATGCGGATAATATAGCCTTGTGAAGTTTGTAATTTTTAGTCATTTTGTATTACGATCCGTTCGTGATCTAAAATGACTGAAAATTGCAAACTTCGCAAGGCTATATTATCCGCATTTTACAACATTTTGCAACGAAACTTTGCAATATTACTAATCTTGTGATGCTCTTTCAAGCTATGAGGAAATGTTTGTCTAGACTTGCTGAGTTCAAAATTTTGTTCAATTGGGGAATGGTCCATTATTGATTGAATGTTGGCGTATAATCTTGCTGCAGAGCGGTATAGACATAAACAAAGTGTCCTATATTATATACTATTTTGTCCGTCCGTACTTTTGATAATGAACTGCAATTGGAACAGAATAAAAGGACTGACACATACAAAGATTACATGACTTTGTCCATGTCTGCACGTTTCTTCATACAGTATTTGAATAACGTACTAATGTATTGTAATGGCTAATGCGTAGGAAATTATATTCTTCGCAGACTACAGTGGTTCAAATCACAATCTTTCGAACGAGCTGTGGAAGTTTATAGTCTGGCTGTTGGACCGAGAATAACATTTTGAAATTCCAGTATGATATATCATACTAATTTTTCTCACCATGTTTTTATTGATAACACTCTATGCGACTTTTTCATGGTCGACATACTATTTAGACAATCCTCTTCGGCGTCGCCCAGTATTGAAGTTGAAAATATTCAATATATTCAAATAACTTCTAAAACAATTATATTTTCCAAAACACACATCATATTTTCCAACTGAGAGGTGTTTACTTTAATCCATATTGTCATTGATACAGTAGTTGTATTCTGGGTATACTTCTTCAAAGTTTCCCTCGTATTTTCAGAATAAACTACAAGTATATTCATAATTTATATTTTTATAAAAAAGAACGTGGCTCCGTTCGTGTGGTCCTACACGCGTTATACACGCGCTCGCGCACCGGCAACGCGTGCTCTCGCTGTAACATACGTTTTCATTGGCAAACATAGACAACAGACATACGTCACGGAAATCGAATTCCTGCTCGGGTCCGCAGACCGTTACTTTCCAAGCGAAGAATGACCGTCGGAAATGACGTCTTGGTTTGCAGACTAAAAATCCTAGTCCTGAAGTTTTCATTTCTTTTGCACTTCTTATTCCTTGTTCAAAAAATCTTGTTTCTTAATTTTTACGACAGCTTTTTTTTGCTCATCCCCTCTTTTTTAACCCCCCCCCCTTTTCAGTAACTCCGCATTATTTCAACCCCCCTTTCTTGTCTTTTTCGGGTAGATTTATCCCCTCCTCCTTAAAAATGGGGGATTTGAACTACGTAGGTTTCCTTAAATCTGTTGTTTCTGAACAAATATAATGTTAGGGATTTTACAAAAGTCTGCAAAATTAATCTATACACAACTTGAATAAATACTCATTTAATAAATTGAGCAGGAAGGCATGTGACATGTTCGAACATATTGTAAATAATTTAAATATAATTAAGATGGTTTTGGTTTATTATGGCTACTTTATACTATTACTATATAAAAACCTGAAAAATATGCATTTGAATAGAAAGTTTACTGTTCCTCACTCTTTTTCTTCAATTCTTTTCGCAAAGCTTTCTTCTTCAACACATTTATACTAAGTTTATATTTATTAACAATGCTTTTTGCAAATGAAAAACATCTAACTTTTGTATACAACGTGATAAAATTTTCCAAACACAATGAATTGCATTCTTTGGAAATCTCAATGTCAAAATTGTCTACAACGTTGTTCCATAGGCCATTAACAGATGCTGAAGACAAGACTTCATTTACCATTGATTCAGCTGGAATATATGTGATTACTTCTTCATTTGTACTCTTTCTAAATGTCAATTCACATGCATCAGCTATGCTCGCAATCCATGGATGGGGTTACCAGGGGCCACCTCTTGAAATTGAAGCAATATACAGGTTGTGCCCAGTATCAACTCTCATGGACAGCATCAGTGCCTGAATATGTATATTTCGGGGTGAATTACACTGTTGGCAGTTCCTACTGTTCTGGTAAAGCGAGCGACCTCAGAGCCGTAGCTAAGCATGCATAGTTGGGAGGGGGTGTAGGCCAAAAATTTCCGAATGACGAAAAAAATTTCCGAATATTTCATGGCATACGAAGTCACGAAGGTGTTTGCTATCCGGAAAATGAAAACGCAATTTACAAAAAAAATACTCATATTTTACACACAGACATTACAGAAGCGTGCAGTTCCGTACAGAAGCGTGCAGTTCTGTAGGAAGTTCTTTTTATAGGGGTTCTTCTTAGAGTCTCTGAAATGCCATTTCGTGGACTTTGGGGGAAGTTTTGACAGAATTCTGATGGTTAGAAAACAGAGTTTTAGCACGTCGAAATTTACAATTGATTTGCTTACAATTTAGAAGAACTAAATGGGCGAAGGCGTATATGGGTAATACGATTCTTTGCGGTTTGTCATGGGCAATGTAGCCGCTTAAAATTAATCAATTGTCAGTATTTTAAAGATATATTGAGGGCTGCCCCCCCCCCCCGTTACTACGGCCCTGGGAAGTAATAAACCGAAAAACATTTACCGATCTACGATTTGTTAAATGTTATCCATGTGAATGCTGTGATTTTGTAAATCAGTTTATGATGCTGAAAATACAATTTTATAATATTTTCTCTGTTTAAACAACTAAAATTTTGTTATACTATTACTGCCGTAATTTTCCGAATGACCAACCTGATTTTCCGAAAATGTCAATTCTAAAAAAGTTGGGGGGGGGGGTCAACCACCCCCCAATACCCCCCTTCGCTACGGCCCTGGCGAGCGTATAATATAACCAGCTAAATACATCAAGGGACCAGACTCCTCAGATGATAAAGATACATGATCTTTCTTTTGAAATTAAAAATAAGTATACTTTATGAGATTTGTATGAGATTTCCTTTCCTTGCCTTTAGCTCATAACAACTATTTTCTAAATGCAGGAGCTGTCCTTTTAATCCATTTGTATCTAACACCCTGGTTGCCAGAAGTTATCTTATTACTGCTTATTACTGTTATATTGAAGTACCAATGTTTAAATTGCAATATATATTCTATATCTTAGCACTTCATTTATCTTGGTTGTCTTCCAGGAATGCAACCAGGGGCCGGTTGTATAAAACTCTTAATCACTTTTTTAATCACTATTTTGTAGTTAAATAATGATTAACTCTCAAATAGGCGCTTCTTGTTGGACGACGTTTCCACTTAAAGGACATTGGCAACGAAAATTTTTATTGGCTATTTCAATCCTACTTGACAACCTAACTATGAAAATATTATTATTTCCTTCTCGAACATTTTACTCTAGGAGTAAAATGCATGCAAACTTTGTGTGTCGCCGCCATCTTGGAAAAAATGACCTTCGAAGGTCAACGAATTTTGTGACGTCATTAGATGGGTAGCACCAAAACTACAAGTGAGAATTCTATTGCGTGCGTGTCGTGTTAGCCAAAAATATGTCGTTTTGAGCGTTATACTGGCCAATACTTTTCGCAATCAAACAAGAGAAGCCTACACTATCAGATAAAAACATATCGAGCGACTGGGAAAGCAAGGAATGGCGCAATTTACAATACAGGTAATTGATCATAAAATATTGCATTAGTGTTTGCCTTGTTTATACTCGAATTACTGCGTTTATTTAACACGGACTAGGACTGATATACTATCAGAAATAGTGTTACAAATAAGGAACATACTTGGTAAAACGTTTCTGCCCTTCGTTTAGGCTCAAAGTGCACTACGCGTGGTAATACTCGGTATTGTTTTATAGTCATGAAATTGTGTTTACCCATCTACTGACGTCAGATAATGTATGCTGTGGCACAAGTGTTTATTTTCAAAATGGCGGACTACTGTTGAACTTTTTATTACATTTTCTCAACAACTAAATGCGACAAACCGGCCAAAATATAAAATTAAGTATTCCGTAAGCATACCTAATAGATATAAGCAATAAAAATTTTGGTTGCCAATGTCCTTTAACTATATTATCTTAACTTAACTGTATTAACTTAAATTTAATCACGTTTTTATACAACCGGCCCCAGACGTTCAGGAAGATGAATACACATCAGGAATACAATCATCTGGGCCTTACACGGATTAAAGTACTCTTCTCAGTGAGCATTTGCAATTGTAGTTGCCATAAAATTGTTGCAAGAGCTTGTTATGATTTTTTTAGTTTTTTATTTACTTAGATAGCTAGATTATCGGGTTATGCATGGCTGGGACAAGAAACATCTATAGTTACTATCGATGATTTGAAGATATGACACATTTTGAAATTTCTTTCTATAGACCGATTGCACTTACTGACCCGTGGCAAACATTTGTATGTTATTAATAAGGATATTTTAATCCAACTATTTCTCGACTCACACTGGGTGGAAAGTATTAATTGTATAAATTACTTTAATAAACTAAAACTCAACGTATAAAATATATGTTTCCCATTAATTTGCGCATACTTCTCATACACATATATGTTCTGTCCCGTCATGCAATTTGCGTTTTCTACTTTACTATCCTAATCATGTCCATAGATATCCTACAATTCCCCCGTTGACCATGACTTGTGACTTACAATGGTCAACTTAACAGTTTCATAACTGAATTAAAGTAACTAAATGTTAACAACGTTAATGCGTATGGACGTCCGGATTCAACCAGTTCTTGTTTCTTCGCTTGTGCCTTTCTTTCTGCCTCACGTATTGGTCTCTTTCTCAATTCCGTCTTCTGATCGTCTTTCTCTGAAGCATTCTCCGTGCTATCTCCTATCGTTACAATTTCTTCATCGCCTTCCGATAACTCCACCGGGTATAATTTCTGAATTGGCCGTCTAATTTCCATACATTTTCCTCCTTTGTCTATAATTTCCTAACTACCGCTCAGTGAATAGCCCCGTCCTTTCCTTTAATCAGTTGCTCGACTCTACCGAGTTTCCACTTTACTCTACGTATGTTCTCTTCGTGAATAACTACAACATCTCCAACTTTAACACAATTTCTTTTCTGTCGTTTACGCCCGTATTCTAAAAGCTCACTCACACTCAATGAGTGAAAGTTCAATCTGAGCTTCTCTCGACTGTCATTGCTGTTTTTGAATAGCTGGAGTGTTACGCCCTCTCAGTCGTTTATCTTGGGTTGCTATGCATGTTAGTCGCCCGCTTTTAGGAACGAAAGATTCGCGAAGTGGCATGCTTACAGTTGGCACACAAGTCGTAAGTATTGCTATATTTTGCTGCATATTTTGAATCTTCCTTTTGTAATTTTAGCTTATTTTGTTTATATTGTAGTTTGACGGTTCGTAGAAGATAATATTGTACATTTTCATAGTCCTGTCGTCACAGTTGTTGTGTATCTATAACTCTAAGATAGCTAGATCGGTATCGGCCATAAATCCATACGAGCCGTAAGACCTGTGTCATATTTACACTACCAAGACGGTATAGATACAGTCAAAGACTTGTCTATAGTAGCGAAAATATTCTACAATGAGTTTTCGTGGTCACGAAACAAGCGAAAATATCGAAAACCCGCCCGTAGAGCCGAGCGAAGCTATACTACACGATGCAAAACAAGATGCCTGCAAACAGGCAACTACAGCACAGGAACCCAGGGATCTTCACCGGATCGGAAGAAGACAAGACCAGTTTCTTCCTGTGGCAAAATGCCTTTGATGCTTTAGTAGACTCTGTTCATATACCTACCAAGCAAAAGTTATACTTATTAAATCAACACTTGGCCGGAAATTAAGGCGAAAAGGGTTGGCGAGCAGTTGCAATACATGGTTGAACAGCCAGAAGTTGCTTATACTGAGGCTCGGAAGATACTTAAAGAAAGGTTTGGGAACAACGCGATAATTGCCCACCGCATTCCAGCCGCTTAAAATTATTTACGGGAAAGAAGACGAGCCGTGGGCAGAACAATACAAATTCGGATGGACAATAACTGGAAGAGTATGTCTGGATAACAACCCCAGAAACAAGACAACCGAGATTTGCGTCTCTGTTGTCGAGAAAGAAAATCGTCGCGAAACCAAACTCGAAGACCACGCACATGTCGTAGATAGCTCCCGGAGTAAAGACATGACATCACCGAAAGAGATAAAAAGAAATTATGCAACTGGACTACAATGAACTCCACTACGGTCGTAACGTTCGCGGAACAGAACAAACCGAGTCTGCAGAGGACATGCGTTTTAACAAGATCCTAACTGAAGGCATTCACAAAAACGCCCAGGGCAATTGGGAAATCCCCCTCCCTTTCAAAGTGGATGAAATAAGCTTACCAAACAATCGGGAATATTGCCTTACTAGATTATTGAGTCTCAAGAAGAAGATGCAGAAGGATGAGAAACAGCGCACGGACTATGACGAAGAATTACAAGTGTCAGAAGGGCAGGTTTGGTTCCTTCCCCATTCCAGGTATATCACCCCCAAAAAAACCAGATAAAATAAGGGTGGTGTTCGATTGCAGTGCTGTTTATCCAGGCGATTCCCTTAATAAAGACCTTTTACAAGGTCCTGATTGGATGAAAGCTCTGGTAGGCGTCTTATCGCGGTTCCGAAAAGAAGAGATTGCAGTTTCTTGCGACATCGAGCAAATGCTTCACAACTTTGTAGTGAATCCTAAGCACAGAAATTTTCTGAGGTTTCTCTGGTTTAAGGACGGTGATATAAACCAACACATAGTTGAGTATCGCATGAATGTTCATTTGTTCGGAGCTGTGTCATCCCCTGGTGTAGCAAATTTTGGGCTCATGGCTACATCAAATGAAGGTAGCCAAGAATTCGGTGAAAATGCCAGAGATTTCCTTGAGCAAGAGTTTTACGTTGATGACGGCCTCAAATCCTTTGCGAACCCAGAGGAAGCGATAGGTACAGTCAAGAATGCGCAAGCCATCTGTGCATCTCCCCAACCTTCGACTTCATAAGTTTGCTAGCAACAACAAGGTCGTCTTGGAGTCAATCGTGAAGGATGATCGTGCGAATGACCTAAAAGATTTAGATCTACGTCACGACGCTTTGCCAATCCAACGTTCCTTGGGAACCTACTGGTGCATCGAGTCCGATACTCTGGGATTCCGAATACAGCTCAAGGACAAACACTGTACACGCCGTGGTATGCTGTCTACAGTGTGTTCGGTATACGATCCGCTCGGAATAGTGGCGCCAGTAATTCTAATTGGAAGACAAATACTTCAGGATTTATGTCGCGACAACTATGGCTGGGACGATCTTGTTCGAAACGAGCTCCTCAGCCGTTGGGAAAAATGGGGATCCGACCTTCACCTTCTCGAGCAAGTAAAGTTACCTAGATGTGTCAAACCAACTGGCTTTGGAAAACCTACCAAAATTGAAATACACAGTTTCTCTGATGCAAGCGATGTAGGAATCGGACAAGTGTCATATCTACGCATGACAAATGCCGAAGGCCAAATACACGTGAGTTTTCTCATGGGAAAGGCACGTGTGGCTTCTTTAAAGTTGATGTCAACCCCCAGGATGGAACTCACAGCGGCCGTAGTATCAGTAAATGTTTCGAGCATGCTCAGCAAAGCGTTGAAGTATAAAGAGACCGAAGAGTTGTACCATACCGATTCCACAGTAGTTCTTGGATACATCAACAATGAAGCAAGAAGGTTCCACACTTATGTTGGAAATCGAGTGCAGTACATCCGTGACAGATCAAAACCTGAACAGTGGCGACAAATTTCCTTGGGAACTTAATCCAGCAGACGAAGCTTCTCGTGGTCTTACAGCGACCGCATTGCTACAGAATTCCCGTTGGTTCGTCGGTCCCGAGTTTCTGTAGCAAGAAACCGAGCAGACCCACCCACAACTCAGAGTCGAGCTAGATTCCAACGACCAAGAAGTCAGCAAGGAAGGGACCACAGTTCTAACCACCCAGCAAGTCAGGCGAGATTTCCCAAAAGTCCTTCAAGCAGACCGTTTAAAAAACTCTTCTTCCTTCTATCGATTAAAGCGAAGCATCGTATGCATACAGCGAATGATCGAGAGAAAACCACCTGACAAACAATACAATTGGAGAATGTTAGAGAGCTTGAAAAAGCGGAGAAATCAATCTTGAAATCTATTCAGTACAAACATTTTTCTGCCGAGGTTGATGATATGCAAAGGCTAACCGGTAACGAGGACATGTTTCAAGATAGACAATCCGCCAAAGTGAGGAACTCCGCGTTGAAACGTACGTCAAGTTTGCACAAGTTGGATCCCTTCCTAGACGGTGAAGGTATTCTCAGAGTCGGCGGCAGTCTGAAAAATGCAACAACGCCTTACGAAGTTAAACACCCTGTACTCATCCCTAAGAACGACCACGTTACAAACCTGCTGATAAGACACCATCACGTTGCCCAGAAACGCCAAGGCTACGGTATAACCCACAACGGAATAAGACAAGCAGGATAATGGGTCATTAACGGACGTACAGTAATATCACAGGCCGTCCATGGCTGCGTCACGTGTCGAAGATTACGAGGCAGATCCATAGAACAGAAAATGGCAGACTTACCAAGCGAACGTGTGAATCCTGCACCACCATTTGCATACACCGGCATGGATGTTTTTGCCCCGTTTTATATTAAAGAAGGCAGAAAAGAACTCAAGAGATGGGGTATCATTTTCACGTGCTTATCCTCTCGAGCAGTCCACCTGGAAACCCTCAATTCGATGAACACCCATACTGGAAAGTTCGTATGTTACGCCGGATATATCCGGCGTAGGATTTTACAGATTACGCCAAATTTGGCGTAATACTAAATCAAATTTTCGATTGAAACTGTTCGCGTGGCGTAAATGGCGTAAAGCGTATATAACGGTATACTCACAGATTAAGAGGACCAGATGTCCGACTTCAGTCAAAAAAGCGTAAGGGCTTCGTCACTGCGCATGCTGTACTGCGCATAGCTTAGCAAGTGACTAGAGGCAGTCACCCCCCCGACATTAAATTTCAAAATGGCGGCAATAATTTATTTTAAGACAACAAACATGAAAATAAACTCTTTTTATTTGCCCGAGAGAGGGATTGTGTGGTTAAATTTGTGTTTAAAACTTTCAAAGTCAGCACGCGTATTGGAAAAGTGAGTTTATCACACTTAGTTTGCAATATTTTACGAATTTTTCTCTTTTTCGATCGTCGTAGGAGTGAAAAACTATAGGCGAAATGACAATGTCACTTTGCTGAGGTATTTGAAGTCATTTTCTACAATGTACGATGTACTTTCTTGCACTTTTGACGATGTCTGATATTCATTGACAAATTATGTGCATAATTTATAGTTTTCTTTGCATATATATTAACTAGAAGTAGAAGACAACTAGATAAGTTAGTTTTGTTTACAAATTTTACATTGTATGCATGAATGTATACTTAACAAATATAAAACATTTTCCGTGTTGATATACAGTTATATCAACACGAGTGGAAATTGGGAAAACGAGAAATTGTGTGGAAACACGACGCCCGAAGGGCGGAGTGTTTTCACACAATTTCGAGTTTTCCCAACTTCCACGAGTGTTGATATAACGATATATCAATACGGAAAAAATGTTTTATATTTGTTTTATAATATAGCAATGTCAAAAGCCCGAAGAATAAGAAAAATTTCCGTCATTCCGTGTTTACAAGCGGCGGAAAATTTCCCGTGTTGACATGGAGTTATATCAACACGGCTCTTAGCCAATCAGCATTCAGAATTTACAAATGCTATATTATAAATAGTATTTGTAAATATTAAGTTAATTCATCTATTTATACAAAGACTCTCTGATAAAAATCTTGTAACAGGAAATGTGAGTTTCAGAAACTGTGTGTCTCAGACAAAAATTATTCTAAAATTAAATACCTCACCTAGTCTACAAAGTCTACAAACAGCAAATTACAAAAATATATAATTTGGGTATATTGGACAGGTTTCCTCTATTAGTATAGACTACATGTGTAGGATATTAGCACACTGACTAAATGGAATTCAATATTTAATATTCTATTAACAAGCTCGCTTCGATCGTAACTGGCAAATCTGATAATTGACTTGGCGGTTTGTGGTACCACTGAAGAGGAAGTTCGGTCGAAGCCATGACCGTGGGTCGAGAGTTTAGTCATGGCCACGTTCACAAATTAGGTATCGACGACTTGGTGACGTATTTACATTTAATTTAATTAACCTAGCTGTTCTCGAGTGCCGAGAACAACACCTCTCCTCTATAGTACCACAATCACACTTCCTAAGGAAGTGGAGATGAGCAAGGGCACGAAGACCCGCTCCGATAGAGACACTGTATAACGAACGACTCATGACACACACACACACACACACACACACACACACGAGTTTGGGCCGATTGTTGACGCTGATTGCCGCGAACACAGGACGGGAAGGACGATGCGATAGACGATGGATTGGTAGAAACGAGGGTCGTTAACCCAGCGAGGCCGGCGCGAGGTGCCAGATCATGAACAGGGAAAGGTACTTAACTGAGATTGGGCAAGCGACGGGCAGCGAGCCAAACGACGGGGCTGGCTGCGGGCTTCCTCCGGGAAGGTTACGGATGGGCGTGGGTGAGGAGGAGGGGATGGGAACAACTAAGAACCCCCGTGGGTGAGGGGGGATGGGAACGACTAAATGTCACGACTGAGAATGAGCTACTGGCGTAAACAACTTATATAAGGTAGGTTATGCAAATGCCCTTATTAGCATTTGCCAAGCTGTCCCTGGGGCCCCCTATTCTGATAACAAGTACAACAACTCAGCTCGTTATTAATATCATTTATTTCATAAATCCAATTAACAAGCTCGCTTCGATCGTAACTGGCAAATCTGATAATTGACTTGGCGGTTTGTGGTACCACTGAAGAGGAAGTTCGGTCGAAGCCATGACCGTGGGTCGAGAGTTTAGTCATGGCCACGTTCACAAATTAGGTATCGACGACTTGGTGACGTATTTACATTTAATTTAATTAACCTAGCTGTTCTCGAGTGCCGAGAACAACACCTCTCCAGGGCACCACTCCAGCAACGCTGGAGAGAGGGGTTCGAGGCACTCGAACCCTCCTCCAAAACGGTACGAATTAGGCCAGCACGGCAGCTATTGATGGTAGCACGGGCGATGGAGTCCGAATGAAAGAAGGTACGCGTTGCTCGACCAACGACCCAATGTCTTAATTAAGTGATCCGAGATGCCCGTAGACGCTGCTGCTGTCGCCGCGCCAATCCTAAAAGTGTGATTGGAGTAAGATACCACGTATTCGCAAGTTGGATAAAATCGCACGGAGCCAACAGTTGACAACCACCGGTGTTAGCGGAGAACCATCGGATAACACGAACAGTGATACGGGAGCGTTGCCCCGAACGTGAAGGTAACGGCGAACTGCAGATACGGCGCAGATGCGCTTTTCCGACGCACCGAGGGAGAGAGACACGCCTCGGCGGAACGAGTCCGTTTTTGACGTCTTGATGAAGAGGTGAAGGCAACCCGACGGATCAAAGGACACGTCTGAAATCGACAGGACCTGTAGTCGTGACCAACTTGTCCCCCAAAGATGCGCAGCTACAACGATAAGCAGAAGCTCCATAAACGCGATGGATTGTGGGGAATACAGAAACGACCAGGAGAATTGTAGGGAAGACAGAAACGACCAGGAACCGAAACACCAATGGGAACGCTACATTGCTCCAAAACCGATGGACCATGCTGCGGCAGACGCGCCGAACAAGTCGGTACGCTGGGATACGTCAGGCGACGAGAGGAAGCTGATGCCATTCCAATCACGAAAGAAAGCGAGCCACCAGAGGAGATCCCAACGAAAATCGACGTTAAGGCGAATTGGGTGCGAGCGATTGCGAAAATGAGCCAGAAGATCAATCATACGGCGCAAAAAAAAAAAAAAAGTTCGCCCAGGACGGACAACTGTGCACGCGTGGTGGAGGTGGCCAGTCAAGGACTCTAATTCCTGACGGTGACAAGTACGCTTGTTGGACCAAGACTGGAGGAGTGACATGGAACGGTTGAACTTTTCGGCTGGCGACCTAGCAATTTGAGTGACCGAGTCGAGCACAATACCTAAGAACACCAAGCAGGTTGCGGGGCCCTCGAATTCTCATGGTTAAGAGGGAGACCCAAGTGGTTGAAGACAGTAACGAAGAGCCGATGTGGGCTTGGCACACGAGAGACGACGGGGGACCCAAAGAGGAAAAAAAAATCATCGAGGTAGTGGAACAACTGGTGAACGTGGTAGTTGTTGAAGGAATCCAATGAACCACGGACGCAACCGCATCAAAAGGAATTGAGGAGACCTGAGGCCAAGAGGTAGCACCAAGGCCACATAGAAAGAGTCTCGCCAGTACATGCCTAACAGATGTCGGTCGGAGACGTTGATCGGAATGTTACGGTAGGCAGCCTGCACGTCGAACTAGGCCAGTAGGGCGCCGGGGCCAATAACAACGAGGGATCTGATAGCGTCGTCAACGGAAATGTATCGCATAGAGAAGGGATCCTGAGGTAAACCATCGTTAACGCTTGCTCCTTGGGGAGAGGAAAAGGTCAGGGATGAGGCGCTACTTCCCCGGTTGAGGACGTTTCGGAAAAAAACCCCAAACGGATTGGTTTGAGAGAGGGCAGTGGCGGCGAGGGGGGGGTATGGGTAAGGACCAGGCACCCGGCGTTGAGCGACGTCCGTCGAGAGATATTTGTCGATGACGTCCGGGTGTTGAGACACTGACGTGAGATTGCGGAGCGACGGACGAAGGACCACACGCTCTGGAACGAAACCCACACGGAAACCATCGCGAATACCCGCCAGCACATTCTCCTTGCGGGGACTAGGATACTCCCAGAGCTCGTGCACAAAGGCTTCGAGATTGCGAGGGCAAATAGAGCCGATCGTGAACGAGGATAAGGGGAGTGGGGTAGGTCCTAGAAAAAGATCAAGGGTGAGAGATACGTAGCCCCACCCCCCGACCGAAAGAAAACAACACTCCAACACAAACGAGTTAGAATACAATTTTATTGGCTACTGATAGACTAAAGAGACTAGACTACAAAATGTAGGTATGTAGGTATTGGCTTAACCACACGACAATTCTATCAGTCCCGAAAAACAATGATGTCGACGAGTGAAGCTCACGACGAACACGACCGACGCCACGCTGAATAAAAATCATACAGCGGAGAATCGACAACGTAACAGAAAAATTAACAATATCAACGTTTTGAGAAAAAAGGAGACGCGCTTACGATGTCCTCTGTGTGTGACTGGGTCGTTTCCGCAGGGACGGTAAAAGGACAAAAAATACGTCTATGCGACCCCCCACATGCCAAACGATCACAAGCATGACAATATCGACACTGCCTGCCAAAGACAGTGCAACGCCCACTGTTTCAGGACCTGCAAAAAAAAGGACGACGAAGGGGGGCTGGAACCCGCATGCTCAACGCGACTCGGGGAACGCGAAACACGAACCGCGGCGGTGTGGATGTTAAATAGCTCCACGTTCATGTTTGACCGATCAGACAAACCCGGGGCGGCGGCGTCGCGGCGAAAAGCCTCGTCGTAATTGCGCCAGGCGTCACCCCCGAATTGCGAATACGTTCGCAGAATCAGCAGTTCGTACAAAAGCAAGTCACGAGCACGGTGGGGGAACCAGGTAACGAGAACGAGGGAGAATATGGAAATCATCGGTAATATGTTATCGAATGGCATCGGTAATAAGTTTGGTCTTCCGGGGGGGGGGGAGTAATTATTAACCGGCCGTCGAACGACATGGTAGGGATGGACGATTCGTCAGATGGCGGGGACAGAAGGGCTGCCAGATCAATGTAAAGGCCCGACGCTATTGCCGAAACCAGTTTGTGGGGAACGGGGTTGAAACCGGGGCCCACCACCATGGCGTTATCAAACGACTGTTAGGGGAAAGCTGGACAGGAGGTACGTGCCCCCGGGTAATTAGACATGAACGGCGAAACAAAGTAAGGGATACCTGACCGTTGCACTTGAGCTGTTGAACCGCCAGGCGGACCATACGGAGTCGGGGGGATGAGTAGTAAGAGGGATGGACGGCCGCATTTGCCTGCCCCGAAAACGGTTGCGGGGACCAAGATGTTCCGGGTGGATCAAGGGACAACCCCCCTGGAGGCTGGCCAACGAATGGGTCTTGCTGAATGGGCTGAGGAGTCTGTACGAGGTGCTGTGAACCAAGGGGGGCGGCCAGGGATGCCGAAGGATAACCATAGCCGACCGCGCTCTGCGAAGGGCCTGGAAACGACACGCTAGGAAATCCAACATGGCGGCCATCTGAAGTCGGGAATGTAGAAGGAGACGATAAATTCAAACCCAAACGAGACAGGAACGGCGAAGTCGATGGCAAAATAACGTTCCACGACGACATAGTATTTGGCAATGATCTTGTAGACGAAACTGTTGCGCCATAAGATGGATAAACTTGAGCTAAAGTACTGGTATTTTGAGCGATCGAGTAAACGATATTATCTGACGAATTCTGCAACGATTGTGATACTTCTGGCACAGGCGAAGAGGAAACAAACGCCATTGAGTCAACGTTTGAAACAGATGATCCAGATTCACGAGGAATTAAACGAGGCATCAGTGATGCTCGAAGTGTTTGGAACGACTAAATGTCACGACTGAGAATGAGCGACTGGCGTAAACAACTTATATAAGGTAGGTTATGCAAATGTCCTTATTAGCATTTGCCAAGCTGTCCCTGGGGCCCCCTATTCTGATAACAAGTACAACAACTCAGCTCGTTATTAATATCATTTATTACATAAATCCAATAAAATCTGTTTTGTAATTTGTTTACACAAGTCTCACAAACTATGCAATATTCCTGACTGGAAAGTTTGCAAAGGGTGCAGCTAATTTTTGTTTTAATAGGTAAAATAGTATTATGCCACAAACTACAAACTTTCCAGACTGCGGCCAATATGAGACTCCTATAGTCGAACCTCCATTAAGCAGCCCTCCTTTACGAATCATGCTTAATATTTTGCTTTATACACATATTAATCACACAGTAAATATAATGTTCAATGCATGTCAACACCAACAGGTCAATGTAAGTTTTTGTATCAGTGTTCGTTAACACTTCTTGATTCTTTTCAGTCTACCTATTACTGTAATCAGTGATTTATGATTGAATAAGTAGACATTGGACCCCCCCCCCCCCAGTCTACTTTATGGCCACTTCATTGAGCATTGAAGTTGGATTGTATTTTTTTATACTATTTAATGTTTAACCCATTAAGGGCCAGCACTCCCCCCTTGACAAGTAAAATCGTCTGGCGTTAGACAGAGTGAAACAATAACAGGAGCGGATTCAGACAGGTTTGACAGGTTTATATAAACCTGTCAGATTTTCCAAAGAAAGAAAATCTATAACCTTTGATGTACATATAACTAATTTAAAGAATACTTTGTTTGATAAACTTGATGTTGTTTAATCTATTACGCCACTTAAACACTGTTATTGAAATTTGATTCTGGATTACCGAGCGTATTTAATAGACCCACGTACATAATAAGCATTTAATTAATTAAGGACTTATCGCGTTGGTTTCCTCTTACGAAATGTTGTAATACTATAGACAAATAATCTGCTAATGTATCGCCGTGGGCACTGATATATCAGTGGCCGTGGGTCGTGGACTGAAACATCGCATGAATCACACATAACCGCCCACAATTATGAGTGGTCAGAGTTCTCTCAGTGAGAGTAAACCGGTCGATACGCCATTCGATTGGCTAAATGGCTGCGCTCCGCCGGATGTAAACCGGTCATAAACCTGTGAGTCGAGCAGTTTTTAGAGAAAACTGAGCATGAAAGTTAACAGAACTCGAGGACGCGCGAAATATGTTTATAATTTTGCGTGACTGAAACATTGCGTTGGCGATAGAAGCATTCACATGGATTTCTTGTTCATTTTGAAGGTTTGTTTAAAAGTATATAGTCTAAAGTTATAACTGTAAGCTATTTCTACTTACTGTATAATAAATATCAATCCGTCAACAAGCGTATCGATGTTTATACGTGTAACTTCTACACAGTCTACACTCTGATGAAGCGCGAAATATGTGTATATAATATAATTTGCGTGACCGAATCATTGTGTTCGCAATAGAGAATCAGGAAATAATTGTGAAGCTTTCACGCTCTTGCAGTTTGGTTTCTATTTCATTGTTAAAGTTGGTTTGAAAGCATATAGATCTAAAATTACAAGTATGTTTATATTAAAAGCATCTCTACTTGTTGTACTATAATAAATATCTATGCGTTAGCAATTTGCCAATCCTATATTTTTATTACTAGCTAAGGGACCGGTCATTATTTATGGTGGGGGGTGGCACCGAAGAGAAAAGGGTTGGGTAAACTAAATTTTGAGTAAGTAAAAGGTTGGGTAAATGAAAAACAAAACAACTCAAGGGTTGGGTAGTAAAAAAATATTGTCATTTCCAAAGCATGACTCACTGAAGTATTGGGGACTAAAAAGCAATGGCAACAGTAGGCCCTACTCTGGGGCGATAACAAGATAATGTGAGTTTAAGCAATTTTAGGTGATTTAAGCAAAATCTGCAATTTAAGCAATGCGAGTTTGAGCGATATATGGCAATCTAAGAAAACAATTAAAATTTTAGGGAATGCTGTTTTAGGTGTTTAGAGGTAATTTCAGGAATATACAACTATATCCCTGATGACTCCAATGAAATTACCATTAACCTATGCCAAGCATCCAAACATGAGTGTTCCCACAAACACACACACATGCAGTGTATGAAGCAAAATATACAATTTAACAAAAGGAGAAGTCTGCTTGAGGGGGTTCTGGAAACAAACAATACACTGTATGCACATGACGATCAAGTGTTTAAAGGGTAAATAAGCTCAATATTCATGACTTTTTTCATCCATTGTCTATTTCGAAGCCATTGGGGTATTATTAAATTCATGACACAACTATATTTATATACATGACCACATGTTCACATCATATGCAATTGCAAACAATTTTCAAAGGAGTAGGGTACAGAATTGCAATATAACAACATATAAGTAAATTATACATGTCATGAACTTACCAGTTTGTGTTGAGTTAAATTTAAACATTTTTTGACATCAAATATTATTTATTTATTTGCAAATCAAAACATTTTAAAATTCTCGTGTTTTGTTTTGTATTGCGCCCGCGATATATTAATGGTATTAACCGCTGTGAATATGATATACATTTTTAATACATTACATTTGCGCTCAAAAGTTCAGGAAGTGAGTTTCTAGAAAGGATGAAAACTCCGTTTTATATATGGCATGTAAAAGGTAATCATTGTTTACTGTTTATTTTGTATTCAGGTATGGGGAATTTGAGCGATGAGAGTTGCAAAACTTGCAAATGTAGTCTGACTAGTTTCTTTGACGTCATCATGCAACTATTTAAAATTGTGCACATTCATTATTCAATTTATTCGCAGCAATTAGCCTTCTATAAGCCATACAAATGATATAGCTTATAGCCCACCTTGCCTTTAACATTGATCCTATATATAATGAATTAACATAACTAACTTGATTATGTTGCTAGTCGAGTATGTGACCTATGGGTCTTCTAGATCCTAGAGTAGCACAATTAATATAAAGTCTCCGTATTAAGGCGGTAATATTAAAGACTGTCCTTATTTATGCATGACCTTTGACTATTAAGAGCGGCTGTCTGTAATAGTCAGGTAAGACGTGTAAAATGAGAAAATTCAAACTCGTTCAAACTTTGTCAGAATATAGGCCTATATGAAGTATTAATGTTGTGAAAGTTTTATTTCGATCGGATAAATATTAAAGGAGAGAGACGTCGAAATTGGTTTTCCCAGGCCACTTTCGATTTTTAGAGGTCATTTTACGGCACTACCAAAATCGCTCTATTTTGCACGTTAATGGGAATATTTCACAAAACATGATTTCGTTTTATAAATTAGAGATATTTATTGATTAGCAGACAAAATTTAGAGACATTTCTGTAAAAAGTGAATATTTTACAGATTTTCTTAATGTTTTTTATTTTCGAACCTCTTTATTATATGCCATATTAGGCAGCGAATATCTCCATTGTTACATCGATTCAGACAAAAAATTGATAACCAGATCAAAGAAATATGTTTTCCCTTGCTATTGATCAAATAAAATTTTTGGGCAACTTAGAATTTAATTTTTAACGAATTTTTTCGTAACCCCTATTTGACCGGAATAACCGTATGTTAATATAATCAGCGTCGAGTCATGTAGTTCAATAAATGACCAAAGAGCTCGTCAAAAGCGTTTATTTCTTCGAGTAAACAAGCCTAGGCCTATAAAACTACCTTTGCTAAAGTTGTACAATTGGCTGAAAATATTTAGGTCTAAATCACACTGTTTACAGTCGCTTCTTGTTCAGGTAATGGCCGATAGCCGGTGCCGCAGCTGATTTGGCAGATTTGGTTTCAATTATATTTTATCAGGGATATGCCGCGATAAGTATAGTGAGTATATTTTCTCTCCCCCTCCCATAAACTCGTGTTCTCACATAAATAGCGCCCACTCTTTTTGTAAAAAACATAGGCCATTTGCAAGGTCATACGATGCAAACATGGCATTGTTTTGACGTTTTTTTGGTCGTATTTCCGGTTGGGTAGCTCACGCGATTGTCTGAACAAAAATATAGACTAGTCATACCTTTCGCCGAAAATAACTTCGACCCCTTCAAACATATCGTCTTTGTAATAGTCTTGTTCGAATCCCCATCAAAAACACTATTTAGAGTGTTATTTGCAAGCCTGTATCTTCAAATTTGCATCTTTTATCACGGTATTTCCATTTCTTGTCCGGCTGTGAGCTCGAGGCTCGAAATAATTTGATAGTATACGATCGCATTTGACTTTCAAACTCCCATAAATCGCTACAATGTTGATAATGACTATAACTATCGTTTGGAATTAGTTGATCTTTTATTTCTGAATCGAATGGTGGTATTTCTGTCTTCATAGGCATAGCATGTACTGATCCGAAGATATGAAATTTCTAGCCGCGTCCACCTCTCGAGGACGACCTCGCAAAGAGTTTTAATTTAATTAATATTAAAGCTGGAATCTTTCACCGTGATGTCATGCCAAAAGGTGTCTTTTCCATTTGTTAAAATGTCCTTTAAAAAAGATCCTTGCTCTATATATTGATTTGTGATTTGGTAATATTAATTACAGTTGTATATTTGATTATTTTGTTAGTGCTCAATAAGTTTGAATTTGTTCTGAGAAAACAGTCAAACTTCAGACCTAAGTCACCAAACTTCTACGCTGTTGCTTATTTATTTATACTTTTAGTATACGCTGCCCATCACTTTTAAAACAGCAAGATGATAAAGACAACGTGTACGGGCGAGTTATCCATGAAATAAAGAGTTGGTTTACAAAATGAATTCCGTCTTTGTGGATAAAAATTAGTTGTAAATAATCTCTCCTGTATGTGTTAAATGTTACATGCATGTATAGGGATTTCCCCCAGTATATTCCTTCTCTTTTGTATGGCTGTTTTTGATTATTCGTCTCTTGTCACTAAGTGGTCATGTGGTGTCAGCAACTCTAATCCAGCCGATTCAGAATGCGTTCTTCGAATGATTGTAATAAAAGAAATCAAGGCACACCTGAGGTCGCACGACGTTTGCTTGGATTCCAGTTTGAGAACAGAGTCTTCTCTTCCACCCGCACGAGCCGATTAGTTAATTATTTTCTATCTGACATATACTTTTGATCCAATTTCAATTAAATTTATCCAACCATTTCTGGATGATATATTTACAACAGGCAGTACTCAGGCCAAAGAAAAGTCAAGAAAGGCAGGCCAACTTTCCCAGAGGGTGGCCCGGAATGGTGGAATTGTGCAACGTGTTAAATATTAAGGAATATTCTGAAAATTGAGGTCGAAAAAAGTCTGAAAAGTATTTTAGACCCCCCCCCACCCCCGTTATCGCAAAATTAATTTATATAATTAGACTATTATATAACTAAAAAATTCGGCCCCCTTCCTTTTACGGGCCCCCCTCAAAATGTTTTCTGGTAAGCAAAAATGTTACAGTAAAATGTAAAGGGGGGGTGGGTGGGTGGGGCGACGTTTTTTTGAAAAAAAAGTTCCAAAAATTATTTTTGCGATAATGGGGGGTTCAAAATACTTTTCACATCTTTTTCTTCCTCAATTTCAGAACACGTTGCGCAATTCCAGCATTCCGGGGCCCCCTCTGTGAAAGTTGGGCCCCCTTTCAAGTTGACTTTTTTGGCCTGAGAACTGCCTGAGTGTTCTAGATGTATCATCCAGAAATGGTTGGATAACTGTAATTGAAATTGGACCAAAAGTATATGTCAGATAACGCGTAACCACAAACAGCCATACAAAAGAGAAGAAATATACCGGGGGAAATCCCTACATGTAGCTTAACACATACAGGAGAGATTATTTATAACTCATTAATTTTATCCACGAAGACGGAATTCATTTTGTAAACCAACTATTTATTTCATGGATAACTCACACGTACATGTTGTCTTTATCTTCTTGCTGTTTTAAACTGAATGATGGCCAGTTAAAACTACTAAATTGTCTAAATAAGTAACAGTGCCTAGAAGTTTGGTCTGAAGTTTGACTAAAGTTATTGAGCAACAACAAAATAATCAAATATACAAGACATACAACTGTAGTAAATATTACCAAATCATAAATGAACAGCGGGTCTTTTTTAAAAATAGAAAAGACTCCTTTTGGCATGACATCACGGTGAAAGAATCCAGCTTTAATATTAATTAAATTATAATTATTACTGTAAGTAAACGAATTACAATTTCAACGTAAACTGACAGTTGTTTTTGACAAAAAGCGCGTGCACTATTTATGTTCGAACAGTTAAGCACGAGTCGTGAAAGAACAGATGTTTATGGGAAGGGGAGAGAAAATACACTTAGCTTGCTATACTTATCGCGGCATATTCCCGATAAAATATAATTAAAACCAAACCGCCAAATCAGCGGCGCCGGCTATACAATATATTACAGGCATTACCTGAACAATAAGCGACTGTAAACAGTGTGATTTAGACCTAAATGCTTTCTGCCAATCGTACAACTTTAGCTAAGGTAGTTTTATAGGCATAGGCTTGTTTACTCGAAGAAGTAAACGCTTTTGACGAGCTCTTTGGTTATTTATAGAACTACATGACTCGACGTTGATTACATAACATACGGTTATTCGGGTCAAATAGGGGTTACGAAAAATTTCGTCAAAAATTCAATTCTAAGTTGCCCAAAAATTTTATTTGATTAATAGCAAGAGAAAACATGTTTCTTTTATCTGGTTATGATTTTTTTGTATGAATCGATGTAACAATGGAGATATTCGCTGCCTAATATGGCATATAATAAAGAGGTTCGAAAATAAAAAAACATTAAGAAAATCTGTAAAATATTCACTTTTTACAGAAATGTCTCTAAATTTTGTCTGCTAATCAATAAATATCTCTAATTTATAAAACGAAATCATGTTTTGTGAAATATTCCCATTAACGCGCAAAATAGAGTGATTTTGGAAGTGCCGTAAAATGACCTCTAAAAATCGAAAGTGGCCTGGGAAAACCAATTTCGACGTCTCTCTCCTTCAATATTTATCGGATCGAAATAAAACTTTCACAACAGTAATACTTCATATAGGCCTACATTCTGACAAAGTTTGAAAGATTTTGAATTTTTTCATTTTACACGTCTTACCTGACTATTACAGACAACCGCTCTTAAGTGGCCAAAAACTGTGCCTACAGTAGTCAACTTATTCCACTATCCAGGTTGCATCACTTTTGATTCAAAACACCCGGGTTTATTATACATGGATTTGCTAGCAAAATAGCAGCAATTGATGAACTTGGTGTTATAGTAAGATTTACTAAATGTGTAAAGAAACAACGAAAAGTATATATCAATCAGAGTCGCTATCTTGATCAATTTCCGATGGGATCTCCAAAGAAAGTAGCTACATGTGCAGACAACATGAAACTTCAGACTGCAGAAAATTTAATTTCACAACCGTTATCAAACTTATGTCACAGAAGTGGTAAAGGACATATGTGACAACTGAATGGTACCTTTTGTAAATTTTTTGGCCAGGGGTGGGTATTTATTTTTTAATTGATATTTGAGGTTGGGTAATCAATTTTTTTTACTTTTTAATGGTTGGGTCAGCAAAATTTTTGCTACGGAAAACATTTCTCTTCGGTGCCACCCCCCGCCATAACTAATGACCGGTCCCTAATAAGTTTCCGAAAAGGTTCAATTCATTGTTTGAGCTGCGTATATAATATTAGTCCAAAATTCTCTTAAAAACATGTATTTTCTAACCATTAATTAATTGAAAAGGTGAGGCCAGAACGCAGGAAATGCTGTTTCAGAGGACCGAATTTTAAAAATTTCCCGGGGGAGCATGCCCCCATAGTGGTTGTGTGGACCTAGTAAACCGGTCATCTAAAACGCTGGATCCGCCCCTGCAATAAAGTAGGGCGTAATGGGCCGCAATGCGACTCAGTGGGTTATATGTAAAGTAGTATTAGTATATAACAACAACAGGGAGTTGCACATTTGCCCGATAACTCTTGTTGCATGTTAAAGTCATTACCAAGTGAGTAGTTAGACTTTTTCAATAATTATGTCATGTATGCCGGTTTAGCCTGGGCACCTCGCTTTCATGTATCAGGAGACAAAATGTGATTGGATCACTATTCATGGGAATTTATTGTTTGTAGGTGAGATATTTTAATAAATATTCTAGAATAATTTTGTCTGAGACACTCAGACACACATTTTCTGAAACTCACATTTCCTGTTACAAGATTTTTATCAGAGAGTCTTTGTATAAGTAGATGAATTAACTTAATATATGTATACAATCATGCACACAATGTAAAATTTGTAAACAAAACTAACTTATCTAGTTGTCTTCTACTTCTAGTTAATATCTATGCAAAGAAAACTAAAAATTATGCACATAATTTGTCAATGAATATCAGACATCGTCAAAAGTGCAAGAAAGCACATCGTACATTGTAGAAAATGACTTCAAATACCTCAGCAAAGTGGCATTGTCATTTCGCCTATAGTTTTTCACTCCTACGACGATCGAAAAAGAGAAAAATTCGTAAAATATTGCAAACTAAGTGTGATAAACTCACTTTTCCAATACGCGTGCTGACTTTGAAAGTTTTAAACACAAATTTAACCACACAATCCCTCTCTCGGGCAAATAAAAAGACTTTATTTTCATGTTTGTTGTCTCAAAATAAAATTGTTGCCGCCATTTTGAAATTTAATGTCGGGGGGGTGAATGCCTCTAGTCACTTGCTAAGCTATGCGCAGTAAGACATGCGCAGTGACCAAGCCCTTACGCTTTTTTCAATGAAGTCAGACATCTGGTCCTCTTAATCTGTGGTATAGTGTTGGCGACTTGGCGTTCACGAGTGTGTCGGCGGTGTGGCGTTATGTGGCGTTCTTAATTTCTGGCACAGTGGCACGATTGTTGTTCTAAATTTCTAATGTATTATATAACGCCATGAAAACTTTGTATTTGAAATAATTTATGATAATAAATATTCAATTGACAAAATATTGTATAAATAATTTTGCCGGCAAATTTTACGCGTACAGCAAACTGTCGAGCAAAAATCTACTCCGACGCGACTCTGTGACCATATATTTTGCAAGGCAATTACTAAATAAGCATGCAAAAAATTAACAAAATGTAGAAAAAATTACTAAATTTCTGCTGTCAACCAAAGTGGTCTGAAAATCAATAGAACATCTCAATAAAACAAAATCAGTAATACACTTTCCATCATTGAAACTATGTTTTTTCCATGTTTTTTTTTCTCACTTGTACTTTTGATTGCAATTGTGCAAAATGCAAATATGGTGTCGCGTTGTCGAGCTGGTGTCACATCGGATTTGGACTCCCCACGGATATGGACCCCCGGTCCATATCAGCTAGCGGATTCGGACCCCTACGGTACATATCTGATAGCTGATATGTACCCCCTTCCGCGGAATTGGATCTCCTAAAATTCACAAAAAGAAGAAGTTTTGAAACGATTTGCAGTTGAATGTGCATGGAAATTTAGGCGTCAGTTTAATTTAAATTATGATAACAAATGGCATTACTCAACTATCTTGCTTAATGACGAAAACAAGTATTGAGATGCTAAGATTCTTATAAAAAAACGCCAAGCAGCATTTTCTAACGGCAATAACCAACTGTTTAGGTATTACCGCAACCGAGTTAATCGCGAAAGAAAAAAATGCCGTGAAAAGTTTTATTCGTTGAAGGTTGAACATCTAAAAAAGTCAAAACCAAGTCGTTGGTGGAAAGAAGTAAAACAGATTGCTGGTATGACCCCTTCAACGGGAGCGGAAGATCTATATAACCAAATTTACATTGACGATATTGACCGGAAGTCTCCAAATGAGATTGCAAATCTCATAAACACAGCCTTCCTAGACCCCATGCATAAAAACTTACCAACCTCTTACTTCTCTTCCCCCCTACGATCCAAATGACTCTGTCCTCCATCTCGACGAATTTGCACGCCGGGCTAGGAAAGCTGCTGTTCTGGCCAATTATTCTGTCGAGGAAAAGTTTTCAAAATGGCGAAATTATGTATTCAAAATGGCGTCCAAGATGATATTGGATATTGCATTATTTATTTTAATTTTGTGAAGGGGTAGGTAGGATAACTGGGATGCTGAAGGACAAACAAGAACCATGACACACTAAATGACCCTCCGACACCCTCAGAAGAGAGGAAGAACACATGCGATATTCGATATTTCAATTTTTTTTAAATTTGTCAAAGTTACTGCCGACATGAACGACAAAGATATTTCGTGCAATATGTAAGATATTTTCTACATAGTCAAAATTTCAAAACCATAGAAATCTTCAACATGGTCTAACGTTTGATATCAATTATATTTTGGGTTTTAGGCTTGCTTGTGAGATCCACATTTCTGCATGAAACTTGTGGCTTCATATGGCCGATGGGGAACAAGAGAAATGGCCGTGCGTCTAGTAACAAAGCAGTTTCACGCATTCGTTTTCCTCTTGGCGAACTTGCGAGCAGAAGAAAAGAATTGAAGGAGAAATATTTGGCACAAAATTCTAAGCTAAAGGATCTGCAAAAAGATGTACAGAAAAGATCAAAAAAGGTATGCAAGTTTAATATTTCTGGATCCAACAACCTGATGGCTGATGAAACAATACACTCAAAGTTATTTTAACATTGGTTTTAGATTGAACGCCAACAAGAGAGTATATCTTTACTCGACACAAAAGAGCAGTCTATGTCACACAGAAAGAGAAAACTTGAAAATGAAAAGGCTAAAGGTATCGAAGTGGCACGGAAAAGAAAAAAGACTGTAAGACAACAGATTCCATCTGAATTAAATCCACAGAACTCAGAAAAATTTCAGGATTCGATGAAAGGTCGAACAAGTAGGCGAAGACGAAAAGAAACCCTAGATTCTTGTAAGGTCATACACGGGGATTGTGAAGGTAATATTTGGAAATTGCGTTTAGGCATGCTGTTACCCTGGTTGCCAGAGGCTCTTTCAATTGAAAGAGCCTCTGGCAACCAGGGTAGCATGCTGTAGCAGTTGTAAAGAAGCCTACAGTAACTTCAGTATAATGAGTATTTGTCTGTGACCTTGTGTGCTGTATGTTGGATGGCATTGATTTAACGGTTACTTTTTTCAGCCTGATTACCCGACATGCATGCATTTTCTTAAGATTATAGTTCAGGTAGGATTCACCCCGGCCGGAGTTGCACCATTAACCCTTCCACTTGTTAAGCCTAGTTTCCATTTGGTCGTTAGTTGTCGCTGGCACGACAAGCGGTAGATGTGAAATAGTCTAATATCAATAGTCTTTTTGTGTCTTATATGCAAATCAGTCTTAATGATTGCAGAGTTTTATAAAGTTTTGTTGACACTCTATTACATCAGCCACTTGTCGTGCCAGCGACAACTAACGACCAAATGAAAACTAGGCTTTAGATGGTAACGAGACCAACAGCCATGGCAGATGTTAACCCATTAAGTGGCAGTACTCTACCCTTGACCTGTAAAATCACCTGGTACTAGACGTAGTGAAAAACTAATTAAAGTACTGTGCATAAGGGCGCAATGACATGGGTTAAAGAGTTAAAGAAATTTACTTTACTTTTGTAGGTAAAACCTCTGCAGCTCTTGCTGGAATGTGGGTGACTCTCATTAATGAGAGTACAACTGAACAACTGACGGCATGTGTGGAGACATCCCCAAAGATGCAAAGTAAAGTTATTCCTGCTATAGTAAGCAAACAAGTTAAGCAGAACGAAGCAAGTCAGGATAATATGTGTCGCAGTTTAAAAGTCTTATATGAGAAAGGCCTACTATCCAAGGAAAAGTACAAAGCTATCTGTAGAAATATCCAAACAAAATTTAGTGGGTCATTAAGTACTCCAAGGCTTGTTTACTACGACAAATTGATTGCTTTCATTAAGTCAGTCAATTTGGACAATGTCCATGATTTTGCAACTACATTTTGTAAGGCAAATATAGGTGAATTTGAAGAACAAGTCAATGGGTCATATAGAGATTTCTGCAGTTATATTACTACTTTAGCAGAACTTTATATACTTGTTGATCAAGCGTTGGGTTCTGAATCATTTTTCCAGCATTTCGGAAGTTTGCCGTATCATTTCAGGGTCGCCATTGGAGCTGACGGTGCTCCCTTTGGTAAAGATGACGAAGCCACGGCTTGGCTTGTCTCATTTCTAAATGTCGGTAAACATATCCAAAGTGAGAAAGACAACTTTCTGATATGTGGGGCAAATTGTTCAGAAACCCATGAGGGTATGATGCAATATGCTAAGAAGTTAATGCATGATATTGCATATATTGAAAACCATCCAATCAATATTAATAGTTTTAACTGTAAATTTACTGTAGAGCTTATCCCTTCGGATATGAAATGGTTATCTGCTATGGCTGGAGAGCTCAATAACGCGGCCTATTACTTTTCACCTTTTGCAGATGTCAATAATGATAACAAGGCAACCCCGAATGGAACCCTGGGGGCAGACCCATCATGCACGTGGCACCCCTGGGATTATGAGGAAAGGGTTAAGGTGGCAAAGAAAGTTGCGGCTAAAACGGAACAGCTATCTAAGACTAATGTTTCCTCCAAAACGAAAAGAAACAAGCTTCTTAATTTTATTAAGGAACAGGGATCCCGGCAAGAGTATGAACCGGTTTTAGGTAAATTGATAGATTGTGGATTTGCCGAACCCCTACACAATAGCAATAATGCATGGGGTTATCTGCATAATCTTATGCTTGAGATTGCTTTGTCTAAATCGAATATTACACCAAACTGCAAAGAAATTGACCAGTTGCCAGCAAATTCTACCTTAGTCGTTTACCTCACCATCTTAAAAGAGACGGTACGTGTCCCTCGACTAGTTAAAAAAATAAAAACTTGGTTTGGTGAGGGTCGGAAGACTTCCTTCGCATATAGATTCACAGGGAAAGAGACAAAAAACGTTTGTCGTAAATTTATGTTTGTGCTGCAAGCATTGAGTAATCCTGCTGACTCCCCCGAGACACAGTTAAGGCTTGCATCAATAGCTTTTTGTTGCATACAATTACGGGATGCTGTATCATACTTTTCTCGTGTAAACATTACCCAAGTCGAAGTTGAAAAGTGCAAAAATTCTTGTTTGCATTTCTTTAATGCCAATGTACTGCTATTGAGATCAGTCACACCAACCATTTGGACAGTAGGTTATGCCATACCAAGACACCTTCAAATACTGTTTGACAGATATGGCATGGGGTTAGGTCTCAATAGCATGCAGGGTCGGGAAGCGAAGCACGTAAGGCTTTCCCAGTTTGCAAAACACTCTACTAAATCGACACGCTGGTCGATGGTCTTGCGACATGATTACATTTCCAATGTATGGATTCGCGAACATGAGCCAAGCCGTCTTTCATACACAAAGTACAAAATGCACTACATTCCAAATGAAACTGAATTGGAAAATTCTTGTTATTGTGGTTTCCCTTTAAGCAAGGACATGCATAGTTGTAGTATTTGTTCATCAAGTATTTTTAAGGATGTTCATAAAGCAGCAGTAGCTGGTTGTTTGACCAATGAAATACGCAACATATTGTTAATCTGAACAAATAGTTAATATGTGAAATAACTAAAGCTTTAAAATTAAGTGAATCTAAAAGTACTTTTGATGTTCTTTGATAATATTCCATGTATTTTTAGATTAACATATTTAAATCATACATTGCATTTTTATGCAATTTTATCTTTTAATCTATTTTATGATCTTTTAATCTATTTTATGATCTTTTAATCTATTTTATGATCTTTTAATCTATTTTATGAAAATGTATTTGTATCTATGTTATATAGAAAATAGTGTTTACACTAATTAAAGTGAAATTAAATATTGTTATGTTATCTTCTAATAACTACATTGTACTTAGCTTACATCGTGCATTATTATCATGCTTGGTCTAGTGAAGCAGTTCTCACAAAAGTTACTTTGGCATTAAAATATATCCAAAGTAAGGCTCGACCGTGAACATTCCCCATATTTTCGTGGTGATGTAATCATTATAATTTAACTCGCATGCATATTGATGTTTTCGACAAAAATCAGTGCGCCTCGGGTAATCAGGACTTAAATTGAAAAGAACTGCTTCACCCTTGAAAAATATTAGTTTCAAATTAACTTTGCAGTTCATGCACAGTCCTGATTACATGAGTGGGGCAATTTTGTCAAAAAAACCATCAATATGCACGTGAGTTAAATTATAATCACATTACCCACCTGCTGCAACAGCAAGTTAAAAGTTATATGGATAAAAGGTATGTTACTTTTATATTATGTGTCCTATGTGCCCCATGTGTCCTATTTTATTATTCTCTCTGTCAAACCCCGGACGATTTCACTTGGCAAGGTTAGAGTCTTGTCGGTTAATGGGTTAAATTAGTTAATTTAAAGTCCTATGATTCCATACCAAAGGTTCAATGTAAGCCAAGCATCACATCAGATCATATACCTAGGTTTGCCTCAGATATACTTAAATTGACCTATATTTATTAGGAAGCAAGTTGCAATATAAAATATATTGGAGTTTTCATGCAACTTAAAAGTGACTATATTGTTGGACAACCTGCAGGTACTGTTGCCATTAAGAGCAAATAATTTATGTATTTGCCATTGCTTGAAGGCAGTTGTCCACCTATGTTGGTTATCAACAAGGGCTGTTTTGATTTAATTATCAAAACACAAACACAAATCAACTAACCAGTTAAACAACAAAAGCTTTAAAGTTAAGTGTATCTAAAAGTATTTTTGATGTTCTTTGATAATATTCCAAACTTTAGAAAACATGTTGAGGAACACCAAACTGGTTCCAATGGCCATAATGAAAAATAATCTTTACATTTCCTTGCCTTTTGGAGAAGTTTATAATCAGTGGGTGACTACATGAAATTACTGCTTTACAGAACCCATTGTTCCTTAACAACCTGTACAAAATGTCATTTTCATCAACTGTAGTAATTTCCTGTATAACATGTATCATCCAGTGAATAGCTGCCTCTGCTGTAGTTATATGAAGCTGTTCCACACATTTGGTCTTTTTAACAACAATGCCATAATCGCCTTTAATGACTGTAAGCCTTAACAAATTAAAAATTTCTTCGTGCATATTTCTAACAATACAGACTTGCCAGGGATGAGCCAAACAAGTTGCGGCCTTCATTCTACGACTTGCGATCCTGGTCCAACAAAGCAATTCTCGCGAAACCATTGGGTATAGTTCAGCAACATGATACATGCACGCATCTTCTCCTACATACATATACTTTTTTACAACTTCTTTAGATCGTAACAGAACTTCGGATCCGATTTTACCTGCTAATTCCTTGTCATTAGCCCTTTTTATGTACTCATTTACTATTTCGTGCAGCTTGACAACAAGCGACGCCATCTTTAATTTTGTTAACAGCTGACCGTTAATGCGGGCTCATGCCATTGCCATCTGGCCAATTTCGCGCGCTTGCCAGCCCGGCGTGTTGATGTGTATAAAGGGCTTGCGTCCCTTAACCCCAGAAAAGCCTCAGGCCCAGACGGTGTTCCGAATTGGGTGTTGAACGAATATGCAGGAGTCCTCGCCCAGCCTGTCAGTTCGATTCTCAATAGCATTTTTAATGAACAACGACTCCCTGCCTCGTGGAAAGCAGCTGATGTTGTTCCAATCATAAAAACGAAACCGGTAACCGAAATTTGTAAACACTTAAGACCAATATCCCTCACCCCAGCCCTTTCTAAAGTAGCAGAAGAATTCGTTCTTTCTAAATACATTGGGCCAGCTATTCTGTGTCAAATCGACACCAACCAAATTGGAGTGATACCAAAATCCTCTACATCTATGGCAGCGATATCAATGATCCACAATTGGTCCCAATCAACTGATGGCACTGGCGCAGCAATCAGAGTAGTCCTGTTCGACTATAAATTATTGACCATTGTATACTCGCTGATAAGATCTCCAGATTACCAATTCCGAAGGCAGTCGTACGCTAGACTATTGATTTTCTATTGGACAGAAAACAAAGAGTTAAACTCGCAACCGACTGCGTTTCAGAGTGGGGTGCTGTCCCGGCTGGTGTCCCTCAAGGCACGAAACTTGGACCATGGCTTTTTCTAGGGATGATCAATGATCTTAAAATCACTGAAGTATCTACTTGGGAGTATGTCGATGATACAACCGTTTCTGAGGTTGTTAAAAAAGGCGATACCAGCAAAGCCCAAGACGCAGTTACCACAGTAGAAAACTGGTCGAATTCCAACAGATTACTTCTTAATGCAGATGAATGTAAAGAACTCCAAATCGACTTTAAATCCACGAAACAGAACTTTGACCCTCTTACAGTCTACGGGAAGAAATTGCCGGTTGTCCAAAACGCTAAAATTCTAGGCCTCACCATCTCTAGTAACCTTAAATGGACTAACCACATTAACGAAGTCATCAAAAAAGCTAACAAACGTCTTTACTTCATTATCTTACTTAAGCGCGCAAAAGTCAGTCCGAAAGACATTGTAAACTTTTAGTGTACAGTTATCAGGCCCATTTTGGAATATTGTGCCCCGGTTTTCCATTACTAAATCCCATCCTTCCTGTCAGAAGATCTTGAGACGGTACAAAAGCGAGCACTGAAGATCATTTTACCCGCGAACTCATATAGCGAAACTTTAGAATATTTCAATCTTCAAACTTTGTTCCAAAGACGCGAAGAAATGTGTAACAAACTTTTCACAAATATTACTAACAATCCGACACACAAACTGCATAATTTACTGCCTCCCAAACATGAGTCGGTTTACCAACTTAGGAACAATAGACTCTTTGAACGATTCGAAACCAATACAGAAAGATTTAAAAAAACTTTTATTCCTATGTCTAGTAACTTAAGTTAATGTAATTTTTAGTACTAAGCGTTTTAATGACCATTTGTAAATATGCCTAATTAACCCATATTCTATCTTTTAAATAATGTTTTATATACTCTTGTAAATCACGCAATTCAGCCGTCCAGCTGCAAGGTGAATTTTAAATACACTATCTATCTATCATCTATCTAATTTTATAAAAATTTAGGGTTGAATGGAATGCATCACTTTGTTATGAATATGTTAAGGCAAAAACAATTTGAAATATATTTTCATTGTCCGTTTTTATTTGAGCAGTTAAGAGTCAGAGCAGATAGCAATTCCAAGGAGTAATGTACTTGTGAAGACTTCGTGTGCTTCTCAGTTCTTGCACATTCCAAGATCATAGAAATAAACTCATGTAGCAGAAAAAATTATAAATCATAAACTTTGATGGACTATGATCTAATCTAAAAATCTAAGATTTTGATGATCTAAAAATCTTCGTACGGTTTTTAAAATAAATCAGATGAGATTTATGACGATTTAAAACGCTTTCAGTACAATATTCAAAATACAATACGTTGCAATGATAAAATACGCGAGGGGTCCAAATTCGCGAGGGGAGTCCAAATCCGCTAGCGAATAAAGACCCCTCATAGGTCCATATTCGCTAGCAGATATGGACTCCCCAGTTCATATTTAGCCTGCATGGCAGGCCCTCAATGTTATGGGAGCCTGATTTGCAGCGGGCAGGATTGACGGCCTGCCACGCAGGCTAGTCATATTCGCTAGCGAATTTGGACTGGGGGGTCCATTTTGAGGGGGGTCCAAATCTGCTGGGACACCGGGGCAGGGAGATTATTAAAAAAAGGTTATCAACTTTAGGGTTAGGGGTTAGACTTGGGGTTAGGGTTAGCGTTAGGATTATGGTTAGGATTAGCGTTTGCATGGAGTAGGGTTATTGTAATTGTAGACCCATTACAACCTAATACTTTATTGCATACAATGGCTTTACAACGCCAATAGATATATTGGTTACAACGTGCGGAACGGCTGAATTGGGATGTATAGCTTTGTAGGCATGGACCTGCAACTGTTCTCATTGAATTTTTGAATAAAAGGTTGTCTCATTATGGTGTATTTGGTTGAATTTCATCCAATGACCAAAATATTACTGACTTTAAGAAAAATTACTAAAAAAGAATTATCAAAAATTTTCAATTACCAAAAAATCCAAAAAATCGCGAAATATTACCAAAAATAACTAAAATTACCAAATCTGCTCACACTGCGACGCATATTCCTTTCAGTGCTACAAATATCATGTTTATTCATGAGCTTTTTGAAAAAAAATTTCGACCATTATCATTGTCCTTCGGCTGCTTTGAGCAGTTTGAGGGCTTTTCGGCTTTGCCGCTTTCGGTAATTGGGTTTGAATGAATCCCTGGAGAGGAAAAACCATTCAATGGGGAAAAACAGAGTCCAGAACCAGTGGTGAAATGTTTGTTGTCGTAAACAATCCCGTTGGCGCACAAAATTTTTAGGGCAAGTTTACTGGCGCATATATCCGGCGGGCAAATTACGAACTTTCCACTATGGATGAACACAGACTCGTTCTTAAATGCGTTAAGAAGATTTATTAGTCGACGTGGCAACGTACGAGAATTACGATCAGACCAAGGCACAAGTTTCATTGGTGGAAGAAACGAATTGACAGCAGCACTTGAAAGTCTAGACAACGATGCTATCAAAGGATTCCTCTCCAACAAAGGCTGCGATTGGATCAAATTTACGATGAACGTGCCCTCGGCTTCTCACATGGGAGGTGCTTGGGAAAGACTTATTCGTACTGTTCGCTCTGTGCTTTAATTTCAACACTTTTGTTTAACCATGGAGCACAACTCGACGATGAGTCGTTAAGAACTCTGATGACAGAGGCAGAGAGCGTGGTGAACAATCGTCCATTGACAGTGCGTAACTTGTCAGAGTCGGGAACGCTCGAGCCGCTCACGCCAAACCAGCTGCTAACATGTAAATCTGAGATAATCCTACAGTCACCAGACGACTTTACGAGACCAGACCTCTACAGTCGCAAGAGATGGAGAAGAGTACAATATTTGACCAATCAGTTTTGGCAAAGATGGCGAAAAGAATACAGCAACATGCTACAGTGCGAAAGAAAAAAGTGGACACGTCAGCGCAGGAATAGCAGAGTAGGGTATAGTGTCATCGTGCGTGACGACGATCTTGCCAGAAATAACTCGCCACTCGGAAAAGTCGTAGAAGTCTATTCCAGCGACGACGACCTCGTACGCAAAGTACGAATCCTCGTAAGTCATGGAGGTAAATTGAGTCATTTGGACAGACCTGTGCATAAATTGGTTCTTATCGTTGCCCAAGAATATGGTGAAAAAGAGAACATTTGATCCAGAGCAGACCCAGACCGGGTATGGTTCCCCACCGAGGAGCCTTTCGTTAGATAAATATTTAACTAGAGACATTACAGTGAACTTTATTAGCTTAGGACTAGGTTACCCACAGGGCAGTAATGCTGCCTTTGACAGCAAAAGACAAACTACAGGGTGTTGAACGAGTCCTTCAGAAACATCCTATTATTGTTTAGCCTGCATGGCAGGCGGTTCCTAAAATTGGGCAAGATTGGGAAATACCGCCTGCCATGCAGGCTAATTATTGTTATCCTTGTTAACCCATTTATTGACAGTACCCAACCACTGACTGAGTATTAAAAATCGTCTGGCGTTGGACAGGGTAAATACTAAAGTAGGGGTCATTACTGTGCTGATGAATTAACAAGAGCCATTGGCAGATAGGTTTGTTAACCCATTTACTGGCAGTACCCTATACCACTGACGAGTAAAATCTTCTGGCGCTTGACAAGGGAAGGGCGCATTGCCAGCTAATGGGTTAAACCACCGTGGTTAAACATAAGATTTCATGATGCCCCAGGAAATGTAAACAAGCTATCAGTGTGACATCCCAGTTTATATATTTATATACTCGGAATATTGATTTCTCGGTACATACAAAATTATTTTAAAGTATAACAACCAGCGAAGACGTAAGGCACTAACTACCCTGCGCGGCTGCGCGCAGACTATATAACGACATATATATGTCATCCGCCCTGTCCGTCCGTCATTCATCCGTCCGTCCATATCCGCGTTTTATCCTAACCCGTTTTTAAAACACAAAGTTTGCACGGTGGTTTGCATTTACGGCCAATTAGACCAGGGGCTAAAGGGCAATGACAATGACATGCAGGTGACATTTAACATTGCGTCTCACTAATTAAAATTTGCGTGTTTAATAGTGTTTATCAAAGAAAGCAAAAATATATACAAGACAATCTCACATGTGGAGTTTTTTCCCTTACGGTACGTACTGCCTTGTGATGCAGTACAAGTATAAATACAAATGACAAAGCATTTGTAAATCCTAAAACATAATTAAATCATTCGGCACATTTAAGATTTTAATATCGTATTTCAGCCGCGTTTAAACTGTTTGGCGCATTCGCTGCGTTATATTCATTGACATGTATATACACAGAAAAGCATGTCATTGTCCTTGCAGACCATAGGCAAAAAGCATTTGTCAACCATGCACATACCAAATTTAAGCAATCGTTAAATCATATACATGTCATGGAAAGAATATAGAAATAATGTTGAATGAAAGCTAGCATCGCGTATAATATTAAAAGCACCGCATATAGTGCTCGAACCACTGCGTATAATTGCAAAAGCATCGCGTATATAAATGGTGAAAGCACCGCGTATAATACTGGAACCACCGCGTATAATGGCGAAAGCACCGTGTATAATGCCAAAAGCACCGCCGTATAATGCTAAAAGCACCCAACAAAATGCCGTTTGATCACTTTAAGCCAGCTATGGTTTTCCATAAAAGAAGACCAAAGATGAAACATGATCACATTGCCTGTTTACCTTATGCCTGACCGCGCTGCACCACGGTTAAAATTCACTGGTACCGTCATGCAATGCGCCAAATAGAAAATTTTGATTTCGACCCACAAAACAAAATTAGGATCTGCTGCCTTGCTCGCTCGCTTCAGGCTCGCTCGCTGCGGCAGCAATTATTAATACAATATTATAAAACCCACCCTCGATCAAAATTCGATTAACAGCATAAAATCTATCCTACAAACTTCCTACACATAGCAGGGATAAAAGAGTTATAAAAGCGGTTCGTGCGTGTAACGTACATATTAAAATACCGATTCGTCCTGAAAGAATAATCAGTCTCGTTCTTCGGGGGCAGCAGATGATGAAGTTTATGCATTGGATCCTTGATGATACTCGTAAAGAGTTTGTCATACATGTCCTCTCTTCTTTGAAATAGAGTAGGCAGTCTATAATACTCAAGGGCCTCACAATATGTCATTTCAGGAGATAAAATTTTTAGCACACGTTTCTGGACAGTCTCAAGTTCGTCTGCCAAATACTTTGGGATGGAATGATGGAAGGCTTGCGCACAATACTCGAGCACAGGCCTGATCACTGTACAATAAAAATTCAAAACATCATTGACATTTACGCCTGCCCGTTTCAATAATGCTATAAAATAGAGGCGTTTATTAGCTTTCTTTATACTCTCTCTGATGTTATCTTTCCACTGAAGTGTGCCTGTCATAACAAGACCCAATATTTTTGCACTCTCAACTATAGGCAATGCTTCTCCACCCACCAGTACAGGATCAAAAGGTTGTTTAATTTTTTTAAAATCGATTCTCAGTTCTTTACATTTCTCAGCGTTAAGAGATAGCCCATTTGCCTTCGACCAATCTTCCACAACATCAACTGCGACTTGAACACGGCTCTCTGTGTCCTTACTAACTACTTCAGCAACTGTTGTGTCATCAACAAACTTCCACCTCGATATATCACAAATATCAAGATCGTTTATCATTAAACAAAATAGCCAGGGCCCTAATTTTGTACCTTGAGGGATACCGGAAAGTGCATGAAGTGTTTTAGCATATGAGCAAGCAAAATGTACAATGTATTATTTTAAACAATATTTAATGTGTGTGTATTCGTTGATATTACAAAGGTTTGATCTTTATTTCCATGATTTTATTTTGTTGTTTTTACGGGGGAAATCGGGGAAAACCCACAGGGAAAATCCATTTTTCGCGTCTGCGCGTGCGCAGTGCGGGTTTGACTGACTTGCGCATGCGTATTTGCTACAAAAACAATGACTGTTCGAATATTTCGAAGGTGGAAAATAGCGAACTTTGGAGGGATTGTTTTCGCAATTGTGCACCTGTTTCGCTTGGGGAGCAACGGATTCTGATAAAGTAAGTTTTTATCTATTGATTCATGTGAAAATTATGTAGTTCCACGAGGGGTGCAACGGAATCCGTTTTCTAAGCATCTATTGGATGCTCATCCTACGGCCTATTACAGTGTTATGTTCATGCTTGTAGCTTAGTTTTTGTCTTTTATTTCGGCATTTCAATCTGTTGCGATACTAGTGAAGTCAGCGGGATATTTTTTGACCGGAAGTACACTTTAGATTTGCCAAAACATTGCGTGTTTACATTTTAAAGGCCCATACAGACCGGACACAGAGGAGGAATGAGGGGCTTCCCGAAATGCAACGCGCAATGATGTACGGCTCATTATTCTGCAAGATATTTATTCTCAATGCGCCGTTCGATTAAAAACTGTTGAAATATATTGCGATTTTTGCTGTGAAGATCTCATTTTCTCAAAGGTATGTTTTGATAACTTTTTTGTTTATTAATTTAAGGTGGCTCCATACGTTTTGATTGTACAGCACACAATTGTATTAAAAAAAACCCCATTATTTCATCATCTTGCAAAGTATGATCACGAAACTCGGCCAAATAACTGCTACAATATCGCGAATTACGAAAAATAAAAAATGTCGTTTAAAATCCTCGTCGCCATGGTAACAAAGTGATTTTTAAATGAGCCAATTTGCAGATTCTTTGATAATTTTTGGAAAATTTCTTCGGTAAAACTTTTTAATTTTTTTCACACAATAATCTTATCTATAATTCCTTCAAATGATAGCATTTAAAACAAATCGTACGAGAATTATTTTTAATCCTCAAAAAAGCCTGTTTTTGGAATAAAAAAAAACCGGCTGGTACAATTTTCTTAAAACTTGCACATTTTACGCACTTCAAGATTACAGGAAAGTGTATGTAGTTTTAAAAGATTTTACTGAAGGAAACACGAGAAAAATACATTTATTTTAATCTATGTGACGTCACAAAAATCAGGATTTCAATTTCCTCGCTCGACCAGCTGACAATCCCACGAAGGCCCGCGCGTGTATATCACGATGTTTTGGCGCAATAAATATATTCGTTGGAACCGCAATTTTAAAAAACCCGCCACGCATGCAACGTCAACCACGCGTGTTGCGTGTAGCACTACTATCTCGCGCGTGGACAAAATTTCCGCGAGACAGACCTAAAACTGTAGGGAGCCACCTTAATAAAAGAAGTTTTGAATAATTTTGTATATACAGGGTGTCTCAAAAAAACCCAAAATCATTGAAATAACGTATTGTTCGAATTTCAATGCCGTAACACAAAGGATTTTGACAGGGTGATTAATTTGTTTTAAAAAATTAAAATATCGATCTTTGTAAAGTGAACGTTTGTTTGCTCATGGGAATTTAAAAATGCTTCGTAAATTGTAATATGCGTAATATGCATTGGTGGGTTTAGTACTTTATGCCTGACATAACAAGTTTACGCTGAGTATTACCATTCATTATAGCAGTTATGTCAATCTTTTATGCACTCGTGGGATTAACTTAGTGCTAGGGCATTGAATATCGAACAATACGTCAATTTCAATGATTTTGGGTTTTTTTGAGACACCCTGTATATCGCATTTTACTTATGCTAAATTCCTATTGTATTTATGCATGTTTTGGGTCAATAGACATGACCTTCAAAGTGACATTGAAATATTCACGAGTAAATTGTACTTTTTTACAAGGAAACTAAAATAAAATCGCATGAGTGAATTCAGGAATGTTTACTCTTTATAATGATACTCTTGATAACTCGGAAATGAAAAGGGTCAAAACTGTCTATTATCAAACAAGAATTAAGGAATTTTCCCTAGCTAATTATATAAAGACATGAAAAAAAAACATGGTCACAGATAAACACTCTATTGGGCAAAGGTGGGAAATCATCTAATATTGCAGAAATTAATATTAATGGTAATATATAATGATCGCAAACAAGTAGCTGAACACTTAAACGTCTATTATGTTAATATTGGCCCAAAACTCGCTGCTGAATGTGAACGTCTTTCGGATTATGAAGACTTGCATTGTAATTCAACTGGTATAAATTCAAAATTCTATTTCCATACAATTACTGAATCCAAGATTCTAAAAAATCTGAAAAATCTAAAAGTATCCACGGCTACCGGGGCTGATGGAATACCAGCCAAAATGCTGAAATTATCTTGAGTTATTATTGCCCCATCCTTGACCTATATATTTAATCTCTCATTTTCTACTGGGATATATGTTGATGATTGGAAAAGAGCTAGGGTAATACCTGTTTATAAAACAGAAGATAGAACGAAATGTGAAAACTATCGCCCGATATCTACTCTTCCCATTATCAGCAAATTATTTGGGAAAGAAATATTTGGACAGTTCTATCAATATCTGATAGACAATTCTCTATTTTCACGTTTTCAATCGGGCTTCCGGCCCAAACATTCGACACTCTCCTTATTGATAGAAATGAGTAACAATTGGATTGAAAATATGGATAATGGAGAAATAACCGGATTAATTTCAGTTGATATTAGGAAAGCCTTTGACTCTATTGATCATTAAATCCTATTAAGGAAGATGCAAGACCAGTTTGGTGTTCAAGATTTTGAGCTAAAATGGCTCCAATCCTGTTTGACGAAACGAAGCCAAGTTTGTGTTGTCGATGGCCACACATCGTTGGCTAAGCAAATTGTATGCGGAGATCCACAGGGATCCATCTTGGGACCCCTCGTGTTTTTACTATATATAAATGATTTGCCAGAATGTCTGAAAAACACAACTCCTGGCATGTATGCTGACGATACTCAAATATATGCATCTTCCGCAAGTTTCTCCGAACTAGTAATCAAACTTAATCAGTAAAAAGCAAATTCCGAAAATACAGGACATCTTGAGAATTCAATATATAATTCCAAACAAGACGCAGTTTGAGACTGTAAATTTTCGACTTTATTTCAAAGTCATCTTCAGACAGAATGAAATACAATACTTTACAAAACATATATATATACAACGCAGAGAGAGAGCATCTGTCATGTGGGCGGAAAGAAGGATTATCCAAGCGAAACGAAACATGATAGAGAAAAAAGTAATTAACTGAGAATGGATTATTTCGCTATATTTACAACAATGTTTAATATATTAAAAGGAATAAGATAGAAAGGGAAGACCCGACAAGTAGAAGATATTAAGTTAAAGTGTTATGTGAACAGTCGTAGTTCTTTACTAGCTTTAAGTCCAGTGTTAAGAAAAGGTTTGTTATGTTTGATAAGCAGTGCTTCAAGAAAAGCAAGAATGTTGTAGTTGTTAGATTTTGTAATGTGAAGTATTCTGTAGCTGTTGAAAACAAGGTTTACAATAGGAGAAGAGTTGTCAGAAGGCAAAGGAAGATCGTTGAGTAGTGTGAACTGGTCTTGTAAAGTAGCTAAGAATTGAGCATGTTCACATTCAGAAAAATGTTGGCCCACTGCACTAGAAGAGAGCCTAGTTGCATGCTCTTTCAAACGTACAGAAAGGCATCTTTGTGTCATGCCAATATAGGTTTTTCCACAACCAGGGCAAGCGACCTCGTATACAAGATTACTACGAGATAAAGGAGGAAGTTTATCTTTGTTGGAAACAAAATAAGAGAGTTTTTTAGTGTCATAAATAGTGATGAACTTAACCGGTTTAGAAAGAAATCTTTGTATTTTATTGAGACATGATTTTAAAAGAAAATCACCACGGTTCCCGAGATAAGGAATACGAATCCAAATTTTAGGCAACATATCATCATCAGTGTCATGATTAACGGTATCGGAAGTAGAATTATCAATATATTTGTTTTTAAGCTTTTTAATCAAAAAGTTTCTAACACCATTAGGATAACCATTCCAAGACATAAAATATTTTATGGTTTCAATTTGATTGTTGAAAAGTGTTTTTGAACTGCAAATTTTAAAAGCCCGGTGGAACAGAGATTTTACCCAAGCAGTTTTGCGATGAAAAGGCTCAAAACTTGAAAAATGTGAATACTGACCGGTGTGGGTGTCCTTACGATAAATGTCAGTACCATCAACCGAGACTTTTATGTCTAAAAAATGAACAACACCATCGGGAAAAGTATCAACTGTGAAATTTAAGTTCGGATCGAAACTATTGAACTTAGCTAAAACGGCAGAAATATTGGAAGGTTTTATCAAAACAAGAGTGTCATCAACGTAACGTTTATAGAATTTTATAGTACCATCGGCAATCAACTCGGAAACTATTAATCTTTCAAATTCAGTTAAAATTATATTAGCTAAGACAGGTCCTAATGAAGAACCCATAGAAACGCCGTCTTTTTGGACATAAATTTGCTCGTCAAAAGAAAAGGCAGTTTTGTTGCAACAATCCAAAATAAGTTTTTTCAAAGTGCGTTTTTCCAAAGTGGTTGTAATTAATTCGTCTTTATAAATACGATCTAGAATAATTTTGACTGTGCGGGAAAGTGGAACATTGGTAAAGAGGGATTCAACATCGAAAGAAACTTTTAAAATCATGTCTCAATAAAATACAAAGATTTCTTTCTAAACCGGTTAAGTTCATCACTATTTATGACACTAAAAAACTCTCTTATTTTGTTTCCAACAAAGATAAACTTCCTCCTTTATCTCGTAGTAATCTTGTATACGAGGTCGCTTGCCCTGGTTGTGGCAAAACCTATATTGGCATGACACAAAGATGCCTTTCTGTACGTTTGAAAGAGCATGCAACTAGGCTCTCTTCTAGTGCAGTGGACCAACATTTTTCTGAATGTGAACATGCTCAATTCTTAGCTACTTTACAAGACCAGTTCACACTACTCAACGATCTTCCTTTGCCTTCTGACAACTCTTCTCCTATTGAAAACCTTATAAATATAGCGAAATAATCCATTCTCAGTTATTACTATTTTCTCTATCATGTTTCGCTTCGCTTGGATTAATCTTTCTTTCCGCCCACATGACAGATGCTCTATATGTGCTGTAAAGTATTGTATTTCATTCTGTCTGAAGATGACTTTGAAATAAAGTCGAAAATTTACACTCTCAAACTGCGTCTTGTTTTGAATTATATATTGAATTCTCAAGATGTCCTGTATTTTCGGAATTTGCTTTTTACTTTATTTTTTTAAATTGTCGGCTGGCCATGGTTTTTTGTTAACTGTGTTTATCCTAACCCACCCTGTCAACTTTCCCTGTGGGAGGAAACCGGAGCACCTGGAGGAAACCTGATTGCCCGAGGAAAACCCAAGACTTTTAGCAGAACGTTGATCTTTTCACGATCTCAGCAGTGAAAGCGCATAAATTTTAAACCTTATCTCAACTTATTTTATTTGTAGTAGAAAACCTTCTGTTCTAAGCGCCACTCTTTCAACTTAAGCTGCTGTTGTTCGTAATTCGTCATGTTTTCTGTAAATTTTATATTTGTTCTCGTCTTTGATTTATGTTTGTTATAGTTTGTTTTCATTAAGGTTGTTCTTCACATGGGGCTATTCATGTCCTGTTGACCATACCTTCAACCATATTATGTGGTGATTTAATCTATTTTATGTATGGTTGTAAAGTTAATAACAGTATATAGTAAAGTTAAATACAGTAAAAAGCACAAATTATATCAAGCACATTGATTACTCGCAGCGTCTAGTGAGCTGAGAAGAAGCAATATACCTTGAAATAGCAAGTGTCATGCAAGTGTCAAGAGTCATGCAAGCAAAGACCAGGGGTTAATTAAAGGGCAATCAGAGGTGACATATATTAAACATGTGCATCTCATTGACATACAGGAAATTAAGGATCAGATTTCCTATCAAGTCTGTTTAATGCTAGGCGCATCTACCACATATAGACTATATACACAGATTTATCACACTAAGAAACCAAAACTTGATAAAAATATAGAACTGATAGTGGCCAAAGTCCAAAACAAATGTAAGCGTAAGTTGCGTAACATTAGACTTGAAAAAGCTTTAGAAATTCGATAAAAATTCGAAGACTCCAGCGAGTTTAAAATTTGTGTTCTGTGCATAGAAAGCCATGGGCTTAATAAAATTTAGTTCGAAACCCCCTCTCTCCATATATTAGGCTGCTGCTACGCTCGCTCGCTTCAGGCTTGCTCGCTTCAGGCTTGCTCGCCCCGCAGCAAAAATAAATAGTTCTATCAGTTCAGTTGTAAACTCTTCTCCCTGGAAGTCCTGTAGGGGCCAACCCAATTATTGCTCGGCTTAGGAACCTAAACTAAACTTACTTTATTTGTACTGGATAGCTTTATCAGTTCTGAACTGTTATTCCTTGAGGTGCTGACAGTAGCATCCCCAAAGTATTATGTAGAATCTAAAGATGCCTTGCGCTTTTTGCGGTTGAAGTTTCATCTTATTGAGTAATTGTTTATATATATATTTTTAGGAATAAAATGTATTTCACTACTTTGGTGATTCTATTGACATTCAGTGCTCCTCTTGCCAATGGTGAGTGGATCTTGTACAATCTGTCTGCTCTGTGTCACATGCAGCCCACTATAGCCGAGATGAATCGTGTTCCCCAATGAATGTCATTTTGTGTTGGGTCATGTATGCGGCGCTTTATCGTGGGCAGCGCTTAATTAAAACGGTATGCCTTTATCAAAATCTTGTCGTTTCTCTTTTCACAGGCATCAATATCTGCCCAACAAGAGAAATCACAGCATCCAGTGGAAAAATCACCTCACCCAATTATCCCAACAAGTACCCTCCAAACACTGATTGTACTCTGACCATCGAACAACCATTGGACACGAAATTTGTCTTCAACCTCACTAACATTGATCTAGGGGGGAAAGGTAATCTCAAAACTATACGACTTATGGAGTATATTATAATCTTATTACCATTAATAAGATCCATTGCGCCCTATTTTACTCCGTCTAACGGCAGATTATTTTATTCTGTTCAACACAAGCTTTCGTTTGTAGGGTTGCAACTACCTGAAATATATTTAGTGAGTTTTAAAATAAAGTCTAGTTCACCAATTAGTTGTCAGGGCCGTTGCGAAGATGCTAATAAGGACCTTTAGCTAGCAGGACGGCGACGGCTATTAATCGGAAATTTATGACAGTGTAGAAAGAAAATGCATAATTAAAAGTCCCTTGGGAGTTTTAGACGTCGTCCTTGCTCTTTTTACAACAGCAAAACAAAGCTTTTCACGTTTTGTATACAACGTCTGCCTTTCAAGCCGCGAGAAGTCGTCCTCGGCAAATTGGCTTAGTAGAAGTCTTCTCAACTATAAACCTCTGTCTTAACCTTCTTAAACTGCAATAAGTTCATACAACGGATAATACAAAACATGTTCTTAATGTTACTTATGTGTGACGAGTTTCTTGTGGCCGTCGCGTTGCCGTCACCTATTTGCTAAAGGTCCCTAATGCAGGATGGGTGTTGTACTATCTCATTTGCCGACAACATTTTTTTTTGGGGGGGGAGGATTTTCCGTACATTATATTTTTCATTATTCAGGTGTTTTCCTGCATTTCTCAAAACGCCCACAAATCTCCACCCCACCCCTAAATTTTGCACCCGCACGAAGTTGTTAATAGAGAGGTTTAGCAAAGACGACGCGACGTCAAAGACGACGTGAAAATGGCACAAAAATGGCGTGGTCACATCCATAGATGGGCATATCACGACATTTTTACGCCATTTTCACGTCGTCTCTAACGTCGCGTCGTCTTTGCTAAACCTCTCTATTAACAAACCGGTTAATACGAGACGAACGCTAATCAATATTTCTTATGACAGCTTATGCCTCAAAATGTGACGACTCTCTTACGATAACTGGAAGGACCTCTAGTAAACTTTGCGGCCCACGTAGTCGTCTACGTGAATACGACCTTAATATTATCACTCTTCGATTTCAATCAAATGGCACGGTTGCACGAACTGGATTCGAACTCACTTTCACGACCGTGAGAAGTAAGTAAACGTCACTGATCTTAAAAGTACAAACTGGAGAGTGCATTCTGCATAAGCATTAAACTGCGTAAATAAAGCTAATGTCCCATATTGACTGGTGTCTTATATTCCCATATGGAATTTAAACGTCAGTCCCGGTCTGGGACTAGATTTGAATAAGATTTTGAATGCGAGAAAGTGTCGAATAAAAATTGGGGGGAATTCTAAGAGAGGTGTCTGTATAAGAAGAGTGTTAGTTTTAGTATTAGAAAGGTGAACTTCAATGATGGATTCTTGGACTTCACTTAGTGGAATTAATATTAGAATGTTAGGGTTTGTAATCCAAGTGAGAATATATACATTTTAAGACCTAACCAGGAATGACTGCGAAAAATGCAGCACAAGGTCCTCTGGTAGGAATTGAACCTACGGCCCCGCGATTCCGGTGCAGCGCTCTAACCAACTGAGCTACAGAGGCCAGCTGTTGAGCTGTAACTGTAAGTTCATGTATATATAAGTAATCGGGTAACCGCACACCCAATGGATTTATTAGCTCTTAAAGTTACCGGACATGACGTCAAAAGGAGAATTTTGTTGCAATGATACAAAGGAAAACTGATTTGCAATTCTCCTTTTGACGTCATGTCCGGTAACTTTAAGAACCAATAAATCCATCAAGATGAAATTTTTCAATAACAAAATATATTGCAAAGTGTCGTAAAATACCCTAAACTTTCGAGATATGCAAACTCCAAAACCATGATATAGGCACTTTAAGATGCCCATATTACAGAGATGTCCGCATTGGAGAGATATTTCTATCAGAGAGGTGTTCATATTAGAGAGATGTCAGGTGTCTACATTAGAGAGGTGTTTGTATTAGAGAGCTGGTGTCCGTATTAGAGAGATTTCCATATTAGAGAGGTGTCCATATTAGAGAGATGTCGATATTAGACGTATTAGAAAGATGTCCATATTAGAGAGGTGTCCATATTAGAGAGATGTCCGCATTGAAGAGGTGTTCATATTGGAGATGTGTCCATACTAGAAAGGTGTCCGTATTAGAAAGATTCCCATTTTAGAGAGATGTCCGCATTAGAGAGATGTCCGCATTAGAGAGGTCCATATTAGTGATGTATCCATACTAGAAAGGTGTTCGTATTAGAGAGATCTCCATTTTACAATTCTGTAAATTCTGTTTTTTTCTCCAGCCCTAGGTCTGCCAAAACCTATCAGTGTTTGTCCAAGCAGGGTGATCAAACCAGATGCAGTTGGTCGCATCAGTTCACCCGGATACCCTAAAGATAACTATGGCAATAAACTGAATTGCAAACTCGTCTTGAAAGTGCCTTTATTTAAAGAACTTGAACTCATTACAGAATATGCGGATATACCTGGTAAGTACTATCTTTCTTTATTCGGGCCAGAGTACGTTGAAACTAGGTTGGGGCACTTGCGTTGTAAAAAGGCGGGGTCCCCCACTTTTTTAAAAGCAGAAAACTGGGGCCTGCCTTGACCTTGTTTTCAAACGAAAACGCCTTTTTTGCAGACCTGTCAACTCTAACCAATAATAGTAACCAATAATAGCTAGTAACCAGTAATGGTAAGAATCGGAATTCAGTTTTTACACTGATAGTATAAATGGTAATTCTTTAAGAACTATTCAAAAACCCATTAATGGAAACTTAATTTTTTTCAGGTGCTTCCTATCCATGCCGTAACAATTCTCTAAAGATTCTGGCCGGTTATTCTTTTTCATCGATGTGTGGATTGTCAGATAGTCCAAGTCGGCCAAGAACTTATGATGATGGCGAAGTCCGGGTTATTTTTACAAACGACGGAATTGCTCATGGCAAAGGATTCATGATAAGCTATCGACTCCTTGACCAATATCGTCGCCGTAAGGAATATCAATCAACTTAAGCCCTGTTTACACTATACAGGATTACTTTTCATACCGGATTAATTTTCACTGATTAACGCCCATATTCTAAAAGCTCACTCGCACTCGATGAGTGGAGGTTCAATATGAGCTTCTCTTGAGTCTCAATGCTGTTTTTGACTAGCTGGAGGGTGAGTAATCACCGAGTAAGGTATGACACTAGCCCTCCAGGTATTCAAAAACAGCAATGACACTCGAGAGAAGCTCAGATTGAACTTCCACTCATTGAATGTGAGTGTGAGTGAGCTTTTAGAATATGGGCGTAAGTGTTTGCACTATGCCGCTTTGCTCTGTTGCCAGCTCATGTCTTTCATTGTCGCCATGCGAACAAGAGAAACATTTTTTCCAATACACTAAAATTTATGAAAAACAAGAAGTAACACACGTTTTCTTTGTGAAGTATACAGCTATTTCAATTAAGGTTGTTCCCCGAACAAAGCGGAAAAGTCGAATACAAGCGCGAAAGGCTGCTGGGAACCGCTTTGAAAATTCATTAATTTGTTAGCGATTCCCAGCAGCCTTTCACGCTCGTATTCGACTTTTCCGCTTTCCTCGTGGACAACCTTCCACTAGGCGGAATTTTGCGCGCGGAGCGGAATTTTTCTTTGTCTTTTCTAATTAGTTCAACCCGAGAAATCACAAGACAAAGAAAAATTCAGCTCCGCGCGCAAAATTCCGCCTAGTGGACAACCTTAATTGAAATAGCTGTATGCAGCAGTATTGATGCAGCCGTTGTATCAACACGTGAAAATCTGTGATTTAGCGTTGTAAACAGAGCGAGGACAATGTCTAAATTATTCATATGTTGTAATTACTCAATTCTTTTCAATGATCTATTGTATTGGTAGCCGTTGCCGTCCTAAAACCGTAAGGTCTCTACTGTGGCGTAGTGTAAACAGCAGCCTAATCCGGTATGAAAATCGCTACGCTCCGATGCAATCCAGTATAGTGTAAACGGGGCCTTAGACGCGATTGATGTTAAAATTTATTGTCATTAATTATTATTACTATTATCAGTGGCGGCGCCAGGCTTCCAAATTTGGGGGGGCATTTGAGGGGCAAACTCAAATTTGGGGGGGCAAGATCGAATTTTTAAAAAGGTCGCCCCCCAGGAAATTCGCCCCCCCCCCCCTCAAAACGTGGCGATATTCCTAGGAATATCGCCCCCGGGGGCGAATATCCTAGGAATATCTCCTCCCAGGGGGGTGGGGCGAATACCCTAGGAATATCGCCCCTCTTAGGACATTCGCCCCCCATATATGCAATGTGGTTTATTCAAATAATTTCGTGATACTTTCATCTTATTATTGCCTTACACGTTTGAGAATTTAACTCTGCAAAACTAAAGCTTTTTTGCCTTTTTTTGAAACGTATTATTGGAATATTGGCAAGTTTTACCATTCAGAGATTTACAAACTAATAGTGAAACTGTAAAAAACAGTTTCATGTATACGCGCATTCACAAATGAATAATGACAACTTATAAGCCATACATTTTCCGATAACGACAGAACACTTGTGTAGCCTTTAGTGACTAATAATTTTTTTTGAGGGGGGGGGAATAATTTTTGGGGGTCATTTGCCCCCCTAGCCCCCCCCCCTGGCACCGCCACTGACTATTATTATTACTACAAACCGATAAAAAAGGTCAATCATTATAATTTTATGTTTCAGGTTGCACGGAAGTAAATGGTCTACAGTACTTAAAGAGAAAAATCAAAATTACTGACGTTCTTAACTTTCAACGTGCAAATGACGATATCAGTTTGCAATTCCGAACCAGGTACTCCAATGGTCTGTTGTTATATGCCAAAGAAGGGAACAAATCCATTCTTTTGATACTAAGTAATCGAACGATGGTATTTGAAGTTATGTATGGAACAGGTATGAATTATACAAAATCTTTAATTTAAATTTGAAAAAAAATAAATTCATGCGTGGAAATTCTAGTAACACGTATTAGTCCTCGAAAGTTAGAAATTAGTAATTAATAATTAGTTGTTGAAAATTATTAATTAATAAAAATTACTAATTATTAATTATTTAAAAATTATTAATCACTAATTATTTAGTAATTAGTTATTTTAGTAATTAGTTTTTGAAAATTATTACTGTTTATTTAGTAATTATTTTTTGAAAATTAGTAATTTGTCCTTGAAAGTCAACCACAGTGACTAACTAATTAAAATTAGAAATTAATAATTAATAATTAGTTGTTGAAATCACTAATTATTTAGTAATTAGTTTTTTAATTAATTTTTGAAAATTATTAATTACTAGTATTTATTTACTAATTATTTTTTGAAAATTAATAATTAATAAAAATTACCAATTGTTAATTATTTTAGAATTGATTATTAAATCACTAATTATTTAGTAATTAGTTCTTTTAGTAATTAGTTTTTGAAAATTATTAATTACTATTTATTTAGTAATTAGTACTAATTAGTTCTATGTTTTCCGACCTCGTTTAAATCGCATTGTTGACAAATTCTTTTATCGTATGGAACATTGCCACATCGACCAGTTTCAACCGGTAATCTATGACCTGAAATTCTGAGCCTTGACGATGGTTACTAACCCCAAATATGATTTTTGGTATGGGTAATATTTGGGTCATTCGAAGAACAAATGTAATGTAAGTTTCCGGATATGATGTCATTAGGTGAATTGCAAATAAGTTTTCCTTTGTTTTTTTTGTACCAAAAATTCACCCAATGACATCATATCTGGAAACTTTGACAGTGAAAAAGTTGATCAAGATGGGATTTTTTATTATAAAGATATATTACATTTATTTTTCGAATGACCTAAATATTACACATACCCAAAATTATATTTGTTGTTAGTCGCACTTTAACATGAATCTAATCATTCCAGACCATCTCATATTAACTGCTCCCTCGCAAAGACTGGATGACAACAAATGGCACACAGTTGTCGTACAAAGACGTGGGCTAAATTTCAGCATCAACGTTGATAGGAATTCTCCCGGTAGGTTTTAAAATATATTGCACATAACTCCACTAACTTCATGCAAATAAGATTTCCCAAGATCAAGAGAATTCCCCAAACTGAATTGAAATAACCGATTTATTTTCATTATTTTAAGCGACTGGTCAAATTGCCACAAAGTTACCCCAACTTCCCAGTAATCCTCGACGTGTAACGATGTACATGTTCGGCGGCCCATCTAGGAAATGGAATCCTTTTCCAATCAACTTCGAAGGTTATGTGCTGATGATGAAGATTAATGAGATGCAACCGATTGCATCTTACGATCTTAGGGATCCGAAATACCAGTTACGTGGTGGACGAAATCGGCTACCAATATATAGGTACTGTTATACGTCTTAATCACTGACTTTGCAAATTGTCGGTTTAGACATTGTACTTGCTCAGAAAAGTGGCGTTCTTCTATATTGACATTTAACATATTTTGATATTATGTATGTTCACCTGTGACAACACACCCTTGCGGAAAGCACTCAGTCTTGGCTATATATGTAGGCTCTTACATGATTAAGGTCGCTAATGGGTTTAAAGCCCTTTATCTCGCTACAAGTGGCACCATAGATATCTATATACACTAGATATAGTGCATCTAATTATCCTGCAATTCAAAAATTGAAGCCGTGATTCTGCAGGATATTCCCATGAAATGAGAAGACTCGTATGTTTTCTATTTCTTAAACAGGGAACTTAAACATTAAGTTAAACCTATTCCAAATACATTTTCAAACTATTCAAATGATGTTAGCGAGTGTGAAACTTCAACATGGCCGCCATCTATTCAAATGGGGGTAACCGCTGGAACATTCTTGGCTTCAATTTTACTAAAAGAGATGCGCTATCTAGTGTATATTAGACATCTATGAGGGGCACCCTTTAATACAACGCCATATATAGTTACATCAGTGTTTCACTTAAAGTGCCTATGACACGAAATTTCACCCCAAAGGTTTATGGTTGCATTGTAAAGATCACTTAAAATGACTTAATAATTTCGTTTATAGAATTTTGGTAACTTGCTCCCTTTTCAAGATATTCAACTTTGTTTTATATGCAAATATCACCGGTGTGACGTCACATCACATAATGTTTTCTTGACGCATACGTATCTAAAAACTTAAAAATTGCCCTTGTATATGTATTAATTTCAGAACTGGTTTTTAACCCTCTGTATTTGTTTGTAAAAATATTTTATCAAGGTAAATTATTGCGTTTTCAAAATGTCATTATGCGATGTGATGTCACACCGGTGATATTTGCGGCATATGAAACAAAGTTGAATATCTTGCAAAGGAAGCAAGTTGCCAAAATTCTATAAAAGAAATTATTAAGTCATTATAAATTAACTTTACAATGCAATCATAAACATTCGGGGTGGAATTTCGTGTCATAGGCACTTTAAAGCCACAATACAGTCGAGCTGTTAAATAATATTTGCACTAGTGTGTATTTTGTCTTCTGTGTAAAACAAGATAAAGAAAGGTACACGGGAAGGGAATATATTTTGTAATTTGAGCAACTTTTTACATATCCAAATAATGATTGATATGAAATATTTTGAGATGCATATTTCATAATTTCAAGTGCAATTGTAATTTGAACGCGTCTCAGTTGGATGTCACAGTCGAGACTCCTATTTTTTTTTACAAAATGTAAAAAAATGCAACTGGTTCATAATCCTTATTTTTCCCACTTTGCGACGCCGACATAAGTACAAAACAAAGCATGACCTTTTCCTCGAGAGAAAATTCTGTTTTAAACCGTTTCTATTCGTTGTTTTCTGAATATTGTCATCAAGATCTAGGACGGCAACATGACGACGACTCGAAATACAATGAAATTAATAATATTTAAGAAAAGAAATGAATAATTAAAATCCCATGAGAGATTTAGACGTCGTCCACTGTCTGTTTGCAACCGGTAAACCAGAGTTTTTACGTCCTATGTACAACGTTTGCATTTCAGCATTTTAGTACTGCGTAAGAAGTGGATACCCAGCAAATTGGTTCAGTACTAATGCGAAATTCTACTCAATAAAAAGCCTCTGTTTTGATCTCTTCGAGTTGTATTAAATTCATACGATTGATAATATACGACAAGCTTTCTTTACAATCATTTATTTGGAGGGGCCTGTACACGTTTTGCGGGATGCGTCTAAATTCGGGAATTGGAATTTTAAGAGAAATATTCGTCGGGAAGCGGGATTTTATTCCATCACTGGAAGCGGGATTAATAAAAATACCATGGCGATATGCAGGCAAGTAATCCACGATTAGCGTTATAAATCAACAATGTTGATTGTGTGGTCGAAATTTAATGTTTTCAAGGATGATATCGATTTACATGTATGATTGCGGGTTTCAGAAGAGTCGCGATACAACAATGGCTGAATTGATCGAGGAGAGAGACAAAAAATTATTTAGCAAAATCGTATCGAATCCAGAACATGCCCTACATGAATTGCTTCCTGTGTGTAAACAAAGGATTTTAAGACAAAGGGAACATAACTTTATTTTACCTCGAATTAAAACGAAACGATTTAAACGATCCTTCATAAATAGATGTCTTTTTAACTATTTTGAACTTTCATATAATTAATTAGGATAGATCAATTTTTTAACTGTAATAAATAGGAATTTGACATTTGTAAAGTTGCACGTCTGTTGTGACTCTAGACAATAAAGACTTTAATAATAATTCATATTAGAAGACGGATTTCCGTGTAAGACGGGAAACTTCTCTGCTCGTAACGTTCAAAAGAGACTGGGATGGAGGGCCTCCTATTTTTTCGGGTTTATCAATCATTTTTTTTCCTTTTTTTTTCGGGCTTATTTTTTTTTTCGGGTTTATTTTTTCAATCTGTAAATGGCTTGATGAAAATCTGCTAACACTAAACTGTGCAAATTCCAAGTTCCTCCTTTTTGGCGGTAACCGTCGCTTAAAAACATTCACCAATATCTCCATATACGTTAACGACCAACAACTTGCCCGAGAACAAACTTTTAAATATCTAGGAATCACCTTTTCAGAGAATCTCACTTGGTCCGATCACATAAGTAATGTATCGATAAAAATCAACCAACGTATTGGGTTGCTCAGAAGAGTTAAAGTCTTCATCCCATTAAAAGCTCGACTCACAATCTACAATTCTCACATCCTCCCATTATTCGATTACGCTGATATTATATGGGGTGATAAGAAGAACACCACCCTCATGGATCAACTACAAATCCTTCAGAACAAGGCTGCAAAGACGATTCTTGACGCTCCTTACCTATCCTCCTCCACCGAAGCTGTCTCAAACCTACACTTGGCACCCACTTTCCCACCGGCGATACTTACATCGAATGCTGACCATATTCAAATTGAAAAATAACCTGATAGACTATGACTTCGACCTACCTAAAGCCAACCACCTGCATAACACGAGACAAAGAGATCACATTCATCTTAGCAAACCTAGTACCAATTGGGGAAAGCAGAAACTTCTATACCAAGCTTGTAAGGAGTATAATGATAGCTCTTCTTTGTAATATATAATTATCTTAGTTCAATATTTTAAAACTTTTCTTGTTTATATATATACATCGCATATAACCTGCATGCATATTATTATTGTATAATCTTTTGTATTTGTATAGTTTTCTCAGGGACCTTCTGAAAAACAACTTGTGATGTTGGTTTTCCTGAATAAATACTATTATAAAATAACATGTATATAACGCGTGTTCTGATTGGTCAAAAGCCGTGTTTGGATCAGGCCATCCAAACACGGAAGACTATCGTGTTGTTGTTATTTTATAAAACAATTACTTTATGGTTTCCGTGTTTGGATGGACTGATCCAAAAACTTGGGAATGTTGCTCGAGTTAAGAAAAGCGGGCAAAATCACTCGCCTTCGGCTCGTGATTTCGCTCGCTTTTCTTAACTCTCGCAACATTCCCGCGTGTTTGGATCAGGCCATCCAAGCACGGAAACCATAAAGTAATTGTATATTACCAATCAATCTGTCCGATAGTTTTCGTTTCATACTTATACCAGACGGAAATACGTCACACGAGTTTCCCGTCTTAGACAGAAATCCGTCTTCTAATATGAATTCAGCTAATTTCGATCACTGGCTAACTCAGTTGCGGTATCGGTTTTTGGTACTTTTTCAAAACCGCAACAGCCGGCATATTTAGGTACATTTTACTAACCGCCAGTATGCATCAGAATAATCTTGATTCTTTTTATTATATGTGGTAGTTTTGTATTTGGAGTCAACTGAATAAATGGAACTGAGAGAGATATTGTTGAATTTGGTTGCTCCTTGGCCTTGCCTTGTTTAAAATGCTAGCAGCAACATGCTTATTGCTTAAGCGCAGTTTTGATTTGGCAACAGACCGCATGATGGGCAAGAAAAATGCACGATTTTCCATTGCGGCGTAGGTAAATTTCATTTTGAAGAGAAAAATTAACATGACTGACGTCCTTGACTTTCAACGTGCAAATGACGATATCAGTTTGCAATTCCGAACCAGGTTCTCCAATGGTCTGTTGTTATATGTCAAAGAATAGCCCGCGTGCAGGCCCGACTGAAGAATGTATTCTTCCCTTGGGCCTGCACGCGGGCTAGTCAACCAGATGATCTTCATACGCGGAAAAGTACTGGCACTAGTTGTCAAATAGAAATCCATTTTGTGATTAAAGCAACTGAATATCTCCTGTAATATACTTTATTTCGATTCCATATTTTTGTCAGAGCTATAGTTCTCATAACCAAACATAATTACAAAATTTCAACTAGTTTCATAAAGAATAACGAAAGATATAATCGACTGAATACATCAAAATGGATTTCTATTCGGACAACCCTTTCTGAGTGCTGATTGGCTAAAATACGAACACGAGATCACCTGGAAAGTAGGGAACAAGTACATTCTTTTGAAACTAAGTAATCGAAAGATGGTATTTGAAGTTCGTGCTATCAGGTTATCGTGCAATGTTAATTATTACATTTATAGGTTTTCTGTTTTCGTATTTATAAAGATCAGGCTTTTAGCTGTCATATGACATCTTTATCGAATCATTGCGATAAAAAATGACCTAATACCACCTGAGTTAAGCCGGTTAATTTAGCGCGCGGAGCGGAGATCTTCTTTGTCTTGTGATTTCTCGTTATTTTCTCGGGTGGAACTACTACAGTGTGTCTCAAAACTAAAAAGTGAACCCTTTCAAATTCAAATTATCTATAACGTATTGTAGTAACTTGACGACTCTAACTGCTTTGAATTAGAACACAAGGTCTTGTACTCATGGGACAAAACTCTTAAAAACTTTTAAATTCTATAATTTTTATTTGTTTGAGTTTTGTCCCATGAGTACAAGACCTTGTGTTCTTACCCAACCATTAATTCAAAGCAATTAGAGCTGTCAAATTACTACAATACGTTATAGCTAATTTGAATTTGAAAGGTTCACTTTTTTTCTAGACACACTGTAGAAAAGACAAAGAATGAAGTGGTCGGTTGAAATCGCATTTTTCCACATTTAGGAGGTTTAGGATTTAAAAGTTCTTCAAAGTTTCGAACATTTGCCCAAATGCTTGTTCCCAGTTTGCCTTTATTCAAACGACTTAAATTTAAATCCCAAATGAGAATAATTTCAATACTCAGACAAAAGTGTGATTTCGACCGGCATTTATAAATCGGATCGTATTTGGCTATTTTTGATCGCCATGATACAAGAAAGGTAGCATTTGACAGTTAAAAGCCTGACATCCAGACACACCGGACGTGATTCGACAACGCGACGCGATTTTTCGATTTTCACCGACCGATAACTTTGATTCTAGTTTAAATTTTCCAAATGTTTAGAAGCGATATACTGATTTGAGTTATTTGGTCTACATATCTTTCAAAATTTGCTCTCATTGGCTGTTTTATTAACTTTCAAAAACTAAAAAATCGCGTCCGGTGTGTCTGGACCTTTACGTTTTTCATGCCAATAATATATAATTAACTTACGATAACATGCCAAAATTGGATTATCTTTTTTATACACCCTGTTAGAGCATCGTTTTCGTGATTGAGACATTAGCGAACTTAAGCAAGGCTTAATCCCCCCCCCCACTGAGGAAGGGGGGGGGTCAATATGTATTTGTTCCCTCCCCCACTTTTTTCCCGTTTGACCGCTTTTGCTTTCTTACTTAGTAACCAATTAATTCAAGAACAGTATTATACTATTTTAATTATTATTTGGTTAGTTTAGCTAGGTTACCCGTTTGGATTTCCGAAGGAAAATATTTGGAGCTTTCGAATAATATTAGCAAAACCTAGATGCGACACAATCTTTATTGTGCCTCGTCGATTTTTATCTGTGTTTACTATTAAGTCGTTTACTTGTAAGTCAGTTTAGACTATTCGTTGTGCATTGAAATGTAGATTGATGAGGGGTCTGTACATAGAAATAATAGACATAGAATGCGTGCTCCTATCTCGCTTCAGTCAAAACTTTTTACTCGGTCCAGACTCCTGCGGTGATTCCTTCCAGACTCCTGGCCAAAATTCAAAATGGCGCATTCAAAAGGGCACGCACATAGATATAGGAGACCTATATCTATGGGCACGCACGGTGAAAAAGTGGAGACATGATTCGTCATCAGCGTGCATTCTATATGTCTATTATTTCTATGGGCCTGTACCGGGTTCCGAAATCCCGACCGATTTTCACTTCAAATCCCGTTATCCCGCCATGTCTCATCCCCAGGGCCGCCGAGAGCTTGGCGGGGGCCCGGGGCAAAAATTTGTTTAGTGGCCCCTATTGCAAAAAAAAATTTTCCGGAAAAAAATTTTTCGGACAATAAATTCTTTTTAGGTGCGTTATAATTGCTTTCGTTGAACTTTTCCGCAATTTTCCATACCAAATTTCGATTCATTGCCCCCAAAACACAAATATTTTGG